GACGGCGCGACTTTCCAGGCCAACATGGAGATGGCGCGTTTTAAAAAAAAATTTCTGGGCTTTCTCGACCGAGGTGGAGACGGCGCGACTTTCGCGACCATGGTGGATACGGCGCGGCTGAGGAAACGGCGCGACTCAAAAAGCAACGGCGCGACCGGCTTGGCCGGCGCAACCGGCTGGCCAGCGCGACCAAAAAGTGCACTTTCAAGACTTTCACGACCGAGGTGGAGACGGCGTGACTTTTCAGACCAAGGCGGAGACGGCGCGACTTTCCAGACCGAGGCGGAGACGGCGCGACTAAGAAACAATTCTTTGCGACCCTGGTTGACGCGACGCGACTTTACCAATTAGAGTGGAGACAGCCCAGACCACGGTGCATACCGCGCTACTTTCCAGAACAAGGCGGAGACGACGCGACTTTCCAGACCGAGGCGGAGACGGCGCGACCAAGAATCAATTCCTCGCCACCAAGGCGGAGACGACGCGACTTTCCAGACCAAAGTAGAGACGCAGATGGTTATGTGTAATCAAAAACAGTTCTTGTCATATTGTTCTAAGCACACCGCGCACAAAAACGCAACTCAAATTTGAATGAAAAGCTGAACTAAATGTTCGGGAAGTTTCTGTGCTAATTGCACAGCAATTCTCTGCTGTTTTGCCTTCAATTTTTGTTAATGACACTTTGTGCTTCCTGGACCAAACTTTGGCTGGCAGTCCGTCTAGGAGAAGGAAATCTCTGGTTCTAAAACCCGGGCAGAATGAGCTCGTGAACCGTGGTTGGCATTCCGTCATGGAGAAGGAAATATCTGATTCCAAAACCCGGGCAGATGGAGCTCGTGAACCTTGGCTGGCAGTCCGTCATGGAGAAGGAAATCTCTGATCCCAAAACCGGGGCACAATGAGCTCGTGAACCTTGGTTGGCAGTCCGTCTAGGAGAAGGAAAACTTCGAATAAGAAACCCAGCGCTTCGGAGAAGGTTGGGCGTGAGGAGAAACACAACTCACTACAGAAGCATCAACGAATACTCAATAAACTCCAGTCCTGGGAGAGGAAGGTCCTGCACCTGCAGGGAGGATGACGCACTGGGGCCAAAGCCGAAAGGGAGCTTCACTGCCGATGGCCCTTCTATCAAATAGGGCGACCACAACCATCGGTGCATGGCAAATCCAGACCATGTACGAGGCATTGAAAGCAGCACAAGTGGCAGCTGAGTAGCAAAGATACAACATCACCCTGCTAAACTTGAATCACTTTAATTCTGCGCTACAAATTAAAGCTATTTTTTTCTGATGTTTTTTCTAAAATCAATCTAAGTTAAGAAAAATACGTCTTGAATATTAAGTTTTTTATTGAAATAGTCATCGAAAACTTTTTTTAATTTTCAGTTTTTCCGTGTTTACTTAAGTCCTTATCTAAGTTTGCATGAATTGATTTACAAAAACCAATCATAATTAAAATTCACTAGGAAAATTGTCTTTTTTTAAGTTATAATTTTCTTGGAGAAAAACGGTTTTTCGGTTTTTAAAATGAAGTTTTTCTTGTTTTGTTGTTCTCTGAGAAATTATTTTCTCACTAAAAAACTTTGCTACTCAGAATGGACTCAATCCGGTAGTTCTAATTTTACTTTTGATTGACCAAAAACTAAAAAATATCTGTTTCTGGGATTGCACTTTGAGCCACATTTTTGCATGCTAAACTTGAACCAATTTAATTCTGCGCTACAAATTAAAACTATTTTTTTTCCTGATATATTTTTTCTAAAATTAATCTAAGTTAAGAAAAATACGTTTAAATAATAAGTTGGTTAAAAAATTGATCGACGTTTTTTTAAGTTTTCTGTTTTTCCGTGATCTGATTAGTAAGTTTCCGTGTTTACTTGAACCCTTATCTGCGGGTGCATTAATTAAATTACAAAAATCATTCATAATTAAATTTTATGAAGAAACGTTTTTTTCAAGTTTCAATTTTTTTGGCGAAAAACGGTTTTTTATTTAAATTATTGGTAATTAGATAATCTTCAAAACCCGTTTTTTTTTGTAAAATCTGAGATTTTTTATTTTTAATTCACTGTTCTCTCTAAATTCAATAGGTATTTTGCCACGAATTGATCCAATTGTTTTAAGATTTTCTACAGTTTTCTGTGCTTCAATTAATTTTAGCAATTTTTAACAAACCAATATTCCCTTTCATTTTTGTTTTATCTGGAAGCACAGAGTGTCATTAACAAAAAATTGAAGGCAAAACAGCAGAAGATTGCTGTGAAAGTAGCACAGAAACTTCCCGAACATTTAGTTCAGCTTTTCATTCAAATTTGAGTCGCGTTTTTGTGCGCGGTGTGCTTAGAACAATAAGACAAGAACTGGTTTTGATTACACATAACCATCTGCACTTGCTTTATACAAACAGATAGCAAAATTTAAAATCAAAAAGAAAAACCAAGAAATTATTTTTCGCTTTTTTTGTTTGAATGTTTTTGTTTAGTTATTTTTATTGCCAAGGTAGCAACTGAAACAAAAAAAGCTGGTTCTTCTTCTTACCAAACCTACTCGCTTGCTTTTTTCGCTCAAAATTAGACTAAAAACAAACAAGACTGCTCGTATCAAAGCGAAGCCCTGAAGGTTCCGACTGCTTCTTAAGGTTTATGGAGCAGTAATAACATAAGGAAATTAAATGTATTAAACTAAAATGAACAATTTTTTTTCTAAATTTTGAAGTCTTTTAATGAAAAACATCTCTCCAAGAGCCCTATAAAGTACAAAAGGATAGCTTTTGCTCCTTGTAACAAATCAATTATGGCAAATAAGCTTCTTTCAACCAATTTGGAACGATTTCTAAGACGGATTAAATCTCCGCTAACGCGTTAACAGCTCGAAATATATCGCGCTTCAATTGTCCCAAATTGGCCAAAATGTCAATCTTTAAATCCCCATAACTTTACAAAAAATGATCACAGGTGAAATATTTTTTCAAATTTAAGCTCAAGACAACAATAACTTCTGAATGATAAAAAAAATTTCGTCAAAAATGGCTGGTTAAAAAGTCGAAGTTTGTCTGAAGAAAAAAAAACCCACCCCGAGCACAAATGTTCGGTTACTTTCGTATCGAAAGTCGGAACAAACACTCAAGCCAGTTTCTCTCGGCACTGAGAGCTTTTCAAAAATCATTAATGTAGATCGAATCAAGATTGAAACGACTTTTTCTTATTATCACTCGTTCCACGGCGAAATAGAAGTGAAAGTGAAACACGCTTGGAACGACTTTTCTTATTGGTCGTTCCACAGCGAAATAAAAGTGAAAGTTAAGTAGGTGGTTAGCCATTATTCACAAAATGTCACGGTCACATTAGTCAACAAACAATAGCATTTTAAAAATTCTTATTTTTTTCAATATTTTGTGCTGCTCTCCTAGATATAATTATTTCGAAGTGAGTAATTTATGAAAATACATTGTCAATCGCATGCTGCAATTTTTCCGATTGATTTTAAATAAGTCAAAAAACATTTTTTGTTAGATGTTGGAATCCGAATCACAACCTAAAATATTTACTTCAGATATATCCACTCGAACCATCTGTTATTTTTAGTTCGTTTTTGAAAACGTTCGAAATATACTTGTTTTATTTGTTTCAAAAACCGGATGAAAATTTGCAACATTTTTCAGAATTTCTCTTGCGCTCATCTAACCAGCAACAATTTTTTATAAAAAAAACCTTTCACTGCAATTCAGTTCGTGTGAAACAGTCTGAAAATGTCATATCACTCGAACTCAGTTGAATTTCATTTGTGGTACATCGGTTTGCTTGGGAAAACCGTAAATTAAATTTCGTTTTGACTCCGTAGTCAGTGTCATACCTCAACGTAGGATTTCTCGAATCCCAACGGATTGATAAACCAATAATTCTAGACGAGGTGAGATAAAATAACTGGTTGATAGACACTAGTTATTGACAACAGAGCTAGAGCTCAAGAACAGCGCCGGCCTAATGCCTATCAAGGTCAACCGAACAAATAACATGACAGTTAGCACAGTAAGATCAACATAAAGGTACATATCAGTTTAACAAAAAGGTGCATATCATATATGATAAGTTTATCAATCCGAGCCGGATGACAACCGGAATGAACCTTACAAAAACAGGTGTCCAGATAAAGGTGGTTGTATTGTCTGCTAAATTATGATGTTTTTGCTACATCTTATCAATATGCCCAGAGCGGCATGAAAATGCACGCAGTCAATAGCTGTTACTTTTACCACACTAGTCATAAAATAAACAACTAAACCCAACTTCTTCCCCCCCCCCCCTCACCCCAAAGCCGTTTTGGGGGAAGGATGTTAACTTGGTTCTGAGTTCGAACTTTCAGCCAATCAGATTAAAGTAATTTACATGCAGCGCTTAACAATTCTAATTTAAATTGAACACTGGGGTGGAGGATCTTATCTTGGTCTATTTGGCGATAGGGGGATGTATGTTAACTTGACGAAATTACTTATTGTCGAGGTTTTTGCGATTCGCAGAGGATCTATGAAAAACTACATCAGCGACACTTTTCTTGCGACTCAAGGACTCACGATCTCTCTGAGTTTTCGTTGGTTTCTGGTTCGCTTGTTTGCTTTCTTTTCACTGAAATGTCAATGGTACTTCGGTATTTTTGGTATTTTTCAACGTCAACAGGTGATAATTTTATACCTTCTCAAAATGAAGTTGCATTCTTTGGTTTCATCAAGCGTAAGCTTTTACGCCGACACCAATATAACACAAAATAAATCACAATTATCAACACATGTACAAAACAGACTACGCTTTAAAGGATCTTGAGTCTGTGTTTACCAACAATAAGTTAAACGTATTCATAATTGATTATTGAATTGACATCAAAAGGCGATCAAAGAGCATCGAACATTCTTTTCAACTTGTGTAATCTCAACTATTCGCGAAAACAAGACGCTTCGAACAAAAGCACCGCGTCGAGTAAGCTAACGTTCATGATCATTTTAACAACATGCATGTGAGCAACATCTATTGAAGTTCAAAATATTACCATCTTACTGATCACTTCATTTGAACACAAAGAACACAGTTCAGCTTGAAAAAAAATATATATTTTATTTCTTTCAATTGTGGTTTATAAACTTTCTATATCAATAAGAAACTTTAACCCTTTCTTGTGAGCTGTAAATTTCCATGGAGTCAGTAGAACGTCAAATGGAGCGAATGCATAAAGATGCCGAAGCTTGTCAATTACAGGTAGTAATGATGTCGGATTCTTACTAATGTTTTTTCAAACATCTATAATTTAGAAGCAAAAAGTAGGAACATACAGAATAATTTTAAAAGTGTTCTCGACTGATTTCGGTTTTTCGCATGCAAATTAAATCCAGACAACCTTGAAAATCTCATCGGACAAAATTTGAAATGTGACGTCGTCGATAATCCAACGATTATGCAAGCCAATTTTTCATGTATTTCGTCTGGGCCCCGTACAGCTCAGGCATGAAGTAGAACAAAAATTTTGAAGTCAAGTTTTTGATCGTAATATGCAGGCAAACTAAACCAAATGTCCCGAATTTTTTATGCGACTTCTTCTGGAGTTTTTGGCGGATCGACGGCCAATTTTTTTAACCTGCCCCAATTTTCGATCGCGTTGATGTCCGGGCTAAACAAAAGTTGCTTCATTACGAGGACAAACTTTGCACAGCGTAGGCGCACAATTTAGTGTGTGTAGGTCTCTGGAATCCATTAAAAATGTGTTGTCCGAACAATCTAAAAAACGATAGAACAAAGGAAGAGCAGAGAGAGCGTCCTTGTTGCGGAATCCGCTTGCTGTTCACAAAGTACACAGTTTGGCCTCTTAATGTTTGGATCCGCCAAAAACTCCCAAAGAAGCCTCTCTAAAAGTTCGGGACACAAAATCTTGCTGACCTAAGTGCGCCTGGTTGACTAATTTTTCAAAAAAAAGTTTTAAACATGTACTTATTTTTAGAATCTGACTTTAATACTGGTGATGCTGATTCTTAGAACAAAAAACGGTTTCGAAAATTGGTTTGCAGGCACTTGGTACATCAGCAACAAAAACTGGAAAAAACAATACTAGGTGTAAAGGGTAAAAATAAGGACAACCTTTTCAATTGTGGAACCAGTTTAAACTAGTATTTATAACCAATTATATTCTTGATAAACTATCTCTATAAAATACTTAGAAATAACCAATCAAGATCCATAACTAACACTGACAATAATTTGTAGTGCTGAAACTACTTGTAGTTTCAGCACCAGAACAATTTGAATATAACTTAGAAAACAGTTGTTCTCCTTTGGAACAAGTCCCAGATACCTAACCCGTAAATACCAGTATACGCTAGATCTATTGAGACTAGGAGATTTAAGAGTAAGATTAAGATCGGTATTAGACTAAGAAGTTGCACGAATCTATCCGGCCGAAAATAAGATAGCGTGACGAACAGACGGTGTACCTTATCTGAAATTGCTCTTTGAGTACGCTACTCCAGGCATAACTCAATTATGAATCAATTTAATTCATTGTCTCTTCGGAATCGAGATTCACAGAATTGTCGGTTGAGTGGCTGACAACAAAATGCTACTGTTATCTTCATATGCACGATTTACTACAGCTTCCTTTGAAATTTTAAAGAGTTTAACGGCTCTTGAAAGTGAGAAAACAACCCATTTGTAGATTAAGGATAAACTGATATTAATGGACCATTTGACTCAAAAGTAACAGTTTTTTTTGTCAGTTTGTCAGATGTTAGTTTTTGAGGTGTACTTTTTGCAGCGATTGTACAGTTACACCGGATACATTCAGTATATTCTATCATAATTTTTTTGAAAGGTCGATCTTTCTATTCAAATCCAAAAACAATCAAAGTACATCTCATTTTTTTCACTTTCTCCAATCGCAGCTGCTCAAACGAGTTGATAAAAGAGAAAATCCATTTTTTTGGCTAAGTTTTCTTTTAGCTTCTTTTGTACATTTTCGTAGAATACGGTAATTGTTTTAGCTTCTGGGTGCCTTTGAGCATATGAACCGAGAAATAGGGCATTTCCAGCAGATGAACATGGAAGATGTGAGTGCATTTGAAACACAGTGGGCAGAAATGGTCAAATTGGTGAAAGACTATCAACAGAGGTATGAAAGGAAAGCTTTGCAGAAATTAATTTGTATCAAGAGCATGCGGCTCAAAAAGTAAAAAAAAAGCATACGATTAAAAAAAGTAAAAACGTTTCTGCAACCTTTTAAAAACAAACCAGAAATGTCCGAAAATAGAATAGCTTAAAACGTACTTGAAAATTATCTTTTTCTCAGTGCCCCACACTTATGCACTAAATATGACAAGTCAGAGTCAAAAACACAATTATTCAGATTTTTTTCTGCGCAGAGAAAATGTTCTCGAAATAATTTCGAAATCCGAATCAGGACTGTTGAATTATGATACCACTTGTCCAAAATCAGCTTGGCAAAATTTAGAACAAGATTGAGATCGACCTCCCTAGAATGCAATCCCCTAGCTGTAAACCAAACATTGAGTCTGTATTAAATTTTTCAGTACCAAAAATCAGACCTAGCTTCTAGACATTAAGCAAGCTTAGAGTTACATTTTTTCAGTTTTTGGCTCGTTGAATCCCACCAAAAACACTCATCTGTCATATGTAAAAATTTAGCCATGAACATCCATCATTTGTAAAAAAAAACAGCCAATTAATTAGAGGAACACTTTCTTCACGTTTTCTTGTTTGCTCTATAACTATTCTAAATTCATCAGTGAATTTTTGTCTAGAAATATATGAGAAATTTTAAAGAGAGTTAACCGAGTGAAAAATAAGCGATGATTTCAAGAGCTTTAGACAGGCATCAGTTTTTTATTCACACAAAATTCGTCAGGGTGGCATTTTGCGTGTCGAAGAGTACAAGGTGTTTATTTTTGGACTCGCAAGTGGTTATTTGGAAGATAATGGTTTTAGCTAGGCCCTCACACATTTTTTTTCAGCAATAAAAAGTTAAAAAACTAATCAGCAAAAAAAATAGATTTATACTATGATTTGAGATTTTTAAGGAAGTTTTAGTCAAATTATGGTTTCTAGTCCTTTTCATGTTCCCACTTTTTCAGATCTTGAGCCAAAAACCCGAACATCTTGTGCTGTTTACAAGAACTCTTCAGCACGCGAAACGCCTCCTTGACAAAGTTCGATCAAATAGTTAAACAAGGAGCTAAAAGAGTTACATTTTTTCAGTTTCTGGCTCGTTGAACCCCACCAAAAACACTCATCTGTCATATGTAAAAATTTAGCCATGAACATCCATCATTTGTAAAAAAAACAGCCAATTAATTAGAGGAACACTTTCTTCACGTTTTCTTGTTTGCTCTATAACTATTCTAAATTCATCAGTGAATTTTTGTCTAGAAACATATGAGAAATTTTAAAGAGAGTTAACCGAGTGAAAAATAAAGCGATGATTTCAAGAGCTTTAGACAGGCGTCAGTTTTTATTCACACAAAAATCGTCAAGGTGGCGTTTTGCGTGTCGAAGAGTACAAGGTGTTTATTTTTGGACTCGCAAGTGGTTATTTGGAAGATAATGGTTTTAGCTAGGCCCTCACACATTTTGTTTCAACAATAAAAAGTTAAAAAACTAATCAGCAAAAAAATAGATTTATACTCTGATTTGAGATTTTTAGGGAAGTTTTAGTCAAACTTTGGTTTTTAGTCCTTTTCATGTTCCCACTTTTTCAGATCTTGAGCCAAAAACCCGAACATCTTGTGCTGTTTACAAGAGCTCTTCAGCACGCAAAACGCCTCCTTGGCGAACTTTGTTCAAATAGCCACATAAGGCCCTGAAAGGATTGCCATTTTTGTTTTTGGCCAGGGACCCTCATCTGTCATATCTAAAGTTTTCAGCCCCGAACAATTTTTAAAAACAGCCAAAAATTTTTTTAAATGCCAGTTTATTTTATTGGTTGAAAATTCTTAACCCTTCACCGTAATTTTTAGCCAGTTGATATTTTCTTCTCATTTATAGCTGGCTTGTGCTTCGACTGGTTTCCTGTTTGGAACATTATGACATTTTAAGTCAAAAATTGGAAAAAAAATTTAAGCTGTTAATTTTTGCAGTTATTAGATTTTGAAGCTTGTCAAAATTGGGGTAACGCTTTTGAGCGCATTCCCCAATTTCGTTCTGCTTGTAATGGAAGCGGCAAAATAATTCGGCCAAGAAAACGTTCCAAATTGTTCCAGTCAGGTTTACTGATCCAAATTTGCTTGAGAGAGGCAATTTTTTTCATTTATTACTTAATGAAAATTTTATTTTTGCACTTTTTTCTCGAAAAACTTTATAAATTGCCAAAAATTGCATGACATACGCTTTAAGGCATTCAAAACTTTCAGAGCTTGGCCTGAAACTTTCAGAAACTTTCATTTACTATCAATCTTAAGCTAGAACAACCATTTTATGTCCATGGAAACCTTTATTTGAATGGTCGATTTATCATAATTTTTCACCGCAATTTCAATTCTAGAACATTCAATAAAATTGTATGGCTATCTAAAATGCATGTTTATACGGTTGTTATTTTTATTCAAAAGCACATTTACTTGAAAAAATTATCACAGCTCACAAAGTTTTACGTGCGTCTCACATCATAAAGTCAACAGCTTATAACAATACCACTTAGTACGTAATTTATTTTTGAGCATTGTCTGATCTCAACACACATTCGAATAACGATTTTCTTCAGCAACGAGCAAGCAGAAAAGATGCTGGGTGTAAGAGAGTCTAGTCTGCACGTGGCTGAAGTAGAATTAGGATGGTACAAACAGAGGTGTGTTCAGCTGCAGGCCACAATAGACGAACTGGCCGACACTTTGGAGGAGGAGATTGAAAAACGAGAGGCCACTCAGCAGGTTAGTTCGGTTCAGACAATTTTAGGAGGGTCATGTTTAGTGGCTTGTACATGAACGCGTGCGCTTTTGACGGAGGCGGCGACATTAAACAAATCGATTTAAGTTTTTTTATTGTCAATCCCTACGAATTTTTCGAGCTACGCCGAAATCCCAGAAAAACCATTTTTCGCAAACAAAAATCTCGACACGGTTATGCTATGAGCCAATGCCGATTCTATGATTTTCCTATGTGTAGAAGGAACGTTCTTTTTCATAATTTTTAAATTGACAAAAACATTTAACAACAAAAACTTGTGTACTTAAGCGGGTCACTCACTTAAAAGGCACCGAAAAAATGTAAGTGTTGGTCAATCGAAAACGGAGAAGGCAACAGAAAAGATTTAAGGGAAACATTTTATCAAAAATTAAACTGCTGACGCCGCAGCTCTTAAACTAAGCGAATCGTTGGTAGAGTCGAAGGTTAGATGTTTGTTGTCAGAGTTTAAGCTAATAAAAATATTTATGTGGTTTTTCAGAGTGTTTCGGATTGGAGCCGCTGCCACGAGGATACGAAATTCAAACTCTTCGAGCACTTCAAGCTGCTGCAGAACTCCTTTCAACAGCTCAAGTCAACCACAGAAAAGTAGGCCTGAGTTTTTTTGTCGAAGACGGATAAAAATAATAATTTTTATCCGATTTGCTGAAAACCTTTCAAAAGGTGCTCACAATTTTCGCCATGTCGTTTTTTAAAACTCGGCGAAGAAAATTGACAAATGAGAATAATTTTTAGTTTTGCAGGATACTCAATTTAGTCGAGGTACAGAAAAAAAACAACGCCTAAATATTCAGTTTTTTAAAGAACTCAAATCTTGATTTTCATTCCTAAAGTACTCGACATTCTGAACTTCAATAACTTTTTAAATTTATAGCATACAAAAAAGCTAATACTTTTTGTATGTTTCAGAGATTTGGAGAACCAAAAGAGTCAGAATAAATTCACCAACTTCAAACTGACATTTGCAATTGAGAGATACGCTGCCAATGTTGAGAAAGAGAAGAAGGAACTGCAGCAGAAAATAGATCAGACGAATGAGGAAAATGAACTTCTGAAGGGAGAACTCAAAAAAGCACAGGCTGAATTGGCAGAGTGGAAAACCGAATACTTTGTAAAGTCAAAAGAAGAAAACATAAATAGACTCGAAGAACAGTACCAGTCCAGGTAATATTTTAAAGACCTTTGAAACCAAAAAAGTTATAATTAAATTTTCATGTATATTATTTTGAGGAGAAAAAAGTGGTTTTGCTAATTAGCGATCAGGATTACAAAAAAAATTTAGGCTGGTTCTCTAAAAGTGATGCGAATTCAAAGATTTTCAAGATTTGAATTTTTCAGGGTTGATGCAAAACAAGATGACTCAATAGTCTCCCCAAATGAAGTTTCCTGTTCAAAGAAGCTTGAAAAATACAACAAAGCTCTTCGTCAAATCTCTCAGCTGGTCTCAGCCAACAGTAGTGAGATTTCACTCTCTCATATTCTAAATCAAATCGCACCTAGTTCTTCTTCAGACGAAGATTATGCAGAAAACGTAGTGGAGGCAGTCGACCAATTCATCTTTAAAAACAACTGTGCAAGAAGTGTAAGTTGGACTAAGAATTTTTAACGATGAATCTGCAATGGAAATTTTTTTTCAAAGCAGAACAAGATTGAATCTTCTAACTTTCTATTAACCTCCTAGTATAGTTTGTTGGCAAAAAAAGTAAAAATATACCCAAAAAATTAAATCAAATTAAAAATTCAAATCTCCCTTTTACATGCTTATTTGAAATAGAACGTAATACGATTTGTATCTAGTATCAATTATTCCAAATTAATTGCCTGAATTCAGTTAGCCGTGATTTCGGAGCCGGATTTATTCGATGCTTACGCTTTAAAAGAATGAAACATATCGCGGGTTTTTGTTCACAAATCGGCATATTTCAGACCCAATAACCCTTTTTGATTTCTGGCAGTACAAAATTACGTTAAAACTGGTAATTAAAAAAGCTGCGAAAAGAAACAAACCACACCAAATACAAACACACCGTCATTTTCTTCTCCGTCTAGTCGGAGCACCAATCAGAGCGCTTGCTATATGCATTATTATTTATAGGTTCGGATTTAAACCAACAAGACTGCTATTATATCAGAGCAGAGCCCCAAATGTTCCGACTGCCATGTAAATTGTCTCAACATTACCAGGCCAAATTGTGTATTTTGTGAATTTTAAGCGGATTCCGCAACAAGGACGCTCCCTTTGTTCTTCTTTTGTTCTTTCATTCTCTTTGATTGTTTCGACAAAATTTTAAAATATTTTAAGATTTGTTTGTTGAATCCAGAAGCACACAGTCACAAAATTGTGCGCCTATCCACTGCACAATTTGGCCTCGTAATGAAATAGTTTTTTTGATAAACTATGAATCTTGAACTGTTTAATTTTTACCAGCCAATATTAAAAAAAAATTTGAGATTGAAATTTCAGTCGTATTGGATTCCCTGAATTCAGTTTGTATTAGTTTTCGGCTCGGGATGAATTACCACGCAGTCTCGCAGTCTTTAAAAAACACGCCTACCATATAAAAGTTTCTTTGTTCTTAGACAGTTGGAACAAAACGAGTCCTCGTATCAGGACGAATGAAATTTCCAAGAAAATTTATCCAGCACACAATGCAATCTAAAAAATAATTCATTTAGCGTCTAGTAACGTATCAATGAGACCAAATATGTCGCCTCAAAGCATAATGATAAAAAATTAAACGCCTAAATAAATCACCGCTTTATTAACAATACACCGTGAAAGTAGTTTTTATGTCGAAGATTTTTTAAAAACTATCTACTGTATCTGGTTTGCATTTTTGTTTAGGATCCGTTTTGATCGATATGAATGTCTCTGCATAGTATCTTTCAGTATTTTTTCGCCAGAAAGTTTTGGTAATTCCAATTGAGCAAACATCATTTTAAACTGAGCGGTATTAAAAACGCAAACTTAATGCTTTGAAAAAATCCTTGTTCCTAGAGATTGGCAAAAGATTTTGCAAACATCCTCCTGCATGAATAAACTATTAAAGTAAGCGTGTGGGTAGAAAATAGGTGAGAAAATCCGCGGCATTTTGTTTACAGGACTAGCATTTTTCTCTTTTCTGAGGCAAACAAACATGAAAAATTTGGGGTCTTTTCAGTTATACGGCCCAAAACTGAAAAATGAAAAATTGTACATTGAAAATAATATTAACCAAAATAACTGTGACAGTACTAGTTTACCTGTTTGGTCTCGTGAGAAAACTAGTTTAGATGATTGGTCCAGCCTATTTCCTAGCAACAAAAGCGAGCCCGGGATTCAAACCTACGCCTTGGTGTTTGTAATCAATTTCGTACCCGCTAAACTAATTATGCCAGCTGAGTTATCAAGATAGAGAAATTAACATGCTTACTGTGTGAGTTAACCCAAAAACTGTACCACTGTATTTATTAGGGAGTGCAGCATTATTGAGGGACCAAACAAGTAAACTTATACCTGACAATATACAGCCATTAACCGATGTGTTTTTGTCACAGCAGAGTTTAACAAAAGCCTTAAATTTTAGTTGATCATTTGATAAAACAGCATTATTTTCTGTCATCTGTATTTTTCGATTAACTGAGCTTCGGTTTAATATTGACTTCCAGCTTTTCTCAATCTAATATTTTTTTTCAACCAAGCAGAATTCAGCATTTTCATCTCATTTAATCCTCGTTGTCAAAGCTGTCAAAATCATCTATTTTGGGCAGTGTAACGGAAAAGACCCAAAGTTTGCGTTTTTAGTGCCGTACTTTCAAATTTTTATTATTGTTTTTGTTTTTGTATGGGCGATAGATACTGCTGTTTGTGTTCAACTTGCACAATGGGTGGAATGTTCAACAAATGCATGGAATCAAAAGCAAATTAACTGGCATAATTTTATCTATTTTTCTTCGAAAGAGCTGAAAATTTCTCATTATTCACCAACATGACTTCAACATTTTATGCTTGAGTATACAGGAATGTATTAGTAGCTTCTGATTACGTCTTTTCGGTTTTTAAAATGAAGTTTTTCTTGTTTTGTTGTTCTCTGAGAAATTATTTTCTCACTAAAAAACTTTGCTACTCAGAATGGACTCAATCCGGTAGTTCTAATTTTACTTTTGATTGACCAAAAACTAAAAAATATCTGTTTCTGGGATTGCACTTTGAGCCACATTTTTGCATGCTAAACTTGAACCAATTTAATTCTGCGCTACAAATTAAAACTATTTTTTTTCCTGATATATTTTTTCTAAAACTAATCTAAGTTAAGAAAAATACGTTTAAATAATAAGTTGGTTAAAAAATTGATCGACGTTTTTTTAAGTTTTCTGTTTTTCCGTGATCTGATTAGTAAGTTTCCGTGTTTACTTGAACCCTTATCTGCGGGTGCATTAATTAAATTACAAAAATCATTCATAATTAAATTTTATGAAGAAACGTTTTTTTCAAGTTTCAATTTTTTTGGAGAAAAACGGTTTTTTATTTAAATTATTGGTAATTAGATAATCTTCAAAACCCGTTTTTTTTTGTAAAATCTGAGATTTTTTATTTTTAATTCACTGTTCTCTCTAAATTCAATAGGTATTTTGCCACGAATTGATCCAATTGTTTTAAGATTTTCTACAGTTTTCTGTGCTTCAATTAATTTTAGCAATTTTTAACAAACCAATATTCCCTTTCATTTTTGTTTTATCTGGAAGCACAGAGTGTCATTAACAAAAAATTGAAGGCAAAACAGCAGAAGATTGCTGTGAAAGTAGCACAGAAACTTCCCGAACATTTAGTTCAGCTTTTCATTCAAATTTGAGTCGCGTTTTTGTGCGCCGTGTGCTTAGAACAATAAGACAAGAACTGGTTTTGATTACACATAACCATCTGCACTTGCTTTATACAAACAGATAGCAAAATTTAAAATCAAAAAGAAAAACCAAGAAATTATTTTTCGCTTTTTTTGTTTGAATGTTTTTGTTTAGTTATTTTTATTGCCAAGGTAGCAACTGAAACAAAAAAAGCTGGTTCTTCTTCTTACCAAACCTACTCGCTTGCTTTTTTCGCTCAAAATTAGACTAAAAACAAACAAGACTGCTCGTATCAAAGCGAAGCCCTGAAGGTTCCGACTGCTTCTTAAGGTTTATGGAGCAGTAATAACATAAGGAAATTAAATGTATTAAACTAAAATGAACAATTTTTTTTCTAAATTTTGAAGTCTTTTAATGAAAAACATCTCTCCAAGAGCCCTATAAAGTACAAAAGGATAGCTTTTGCTCCTTGTAACAAATCAATTATGGCAAATAAGCTTCTTTCAACCAATTTGGAACGATTTCTCAGACGGATTAAATCTCCGCTAACGCGTTAACAGCTCGAAATATATCGCGCTTCAATTGTCCCAAATTGGCCAAAATGTCAATCTTTAAATCCCCATAACTTTACAAAAAATGATCACAGGTGAAATATTTTTTCAAATTTAAGCTCAAGACAACAATAACTTCTGAATGATAAAAAAAATTTCGTCAAAAATGGCTGGTTAAAAAGTCGAAGTTTGTCTGAAGAAAAAAAAACCCACCCCGAGCACAAATGTTCGGTTACTTTCGTATCGAAAGTCGGAACAAACACTCAAGCCAGTTTCTCTCGGCACTGAGAGCTTTTCAAAAATCATTAATGTAGATCGAATCAAGATTGAAACGACTTTTTCTTATTATCACTCGTTCCACGGCGAAATAGAAGTGAAAGTGAAACACGCTTGGAACGACTTTTCTTATTGGTCGTTCCACAGCGAAATAAAAGTGAAAGTTAAGTAGGTGGTTAGCCATTATTCACAAAATGTCACGGTCACATTAGTCAACAAACAATAGCATTTTAAAAATTCTTATTTTTTTCAATATTTTGTGCTGCTCTCCTAGATATAATTATTTCGAAGTGAGTAATTTATGAAAATACATTGTCAATCGCATGCTGCAATTTTTCCGATTGATTTTAAATAAGTCAAAAAACATTTTTTGTTAGATGTTGGAATCCGAATCACAACCTAAAATATTTACTTCAGATATATCCACTCGAACCATCTGTTATTTTTAGTTCGTTTTTGAAAACGTTCGAAATATACTTGTTTTATTTGTTTCAAAAACCGGATGAAAATTTGCAACATTTTTCAGAATTTCTCTTGCGCTCATCTAACCAGCAACAATTTTTTATAAAAAAAACCTTTCACTGCAATTCAGTTCGTGTGAAACAGTCTGAAAATGTCATATCACTCGAACTCAGTTGAATTTCATTTGTGGTACATCGGTTTGCTTGGGAAAACCGTAAATTAAATTTCGTTTTGACTCCGTAGTCAGTGTCATACCTCAACGTAGGATTTCTCGAATCCCAACGGATTGATAAACCAATAATTCTAGACGAGGTGAGATAAAATAACTGGTTGATAGACACTAGTTATTGACAACAGAGCTAGAGCTCAAGAACAGCGCCGGCCTAATGCCTATCAAGGTCAACCGAACAAATAACATGATAGTTAGCACAGTAAGATCAACATAAAGGTACATATCAGTTTAACAAAAAGGTGCATATCATATATGATAAGTTTATCAATCCGAGCCGGATGACAACCGGAATGAACCTTACAAAAACAGGTGTCCAGATAAAGGTGGTTGTATTGTCTGCTAAATTATGATGTTTTTGCTACATCTTATCAATATGCCCAGAGCGGCATGAAAATGCACGCAGTCAATAGCTGTTACTTTTACCACACTAGTCATAAAATAAACAACTAAACCCAACTTCTTCCCCCCCCCCCTCACCCCAAAGCCGTTTTGGGGGAAGGATGTTAACTTGGTTCTGAGTTCGAACTTTCAGCCAATCAGATTAAAGTAATTTACATGCAGCGCTTAACAATTCTAATTTAAATTGAACACTGGGGTGGAGGATCTTATCTTGGTCTATTTGGCGATAGGGGGATGTATGTTAACTTGACGAAATTACTTATTGTCGAGGTTTTTGCGATTCGCAGAGGATCTATGAAAAACTACATCAGCGACACTTTTCTTGCGACTCAAGGACTCACGATCTCTCTGAGTTTTCGTTGGTTTCTGGTTCGCTTGTTTGCTTTCTTTTCACTGAAATGTCAATGGTACTTCGGTATTTTTGGTATTTTTCAACGTCAACAGGTGATAATTTTATACCTTCTCAAAATGAAGTTGCATTCTTTGGTTTCATCAAGCGTAAGCTTTTACGCCGACACCAATATAACACAAAATAAATCACAATTATCAACACATGTACAAAACAGACTACGCTTTAAAGGATCTTGAGTCTGTGTTTACCAACAATAAGTTAAACGTATTCATAATTGATTATTGAATTGACATCAAAAGGCGATCAAAGAGCATCGAACATTCTTTTCAACTTGTGTAATCTCAACTATTCGCGAAAACAAGACGCTTCGAACAAAAGCACCGCGTCGAGTAAGCTAACGTTCATGATCATTTTAACAACATGCATGTGAGCAACATCTATTGAAGTTCAAAATATTACCATCTTACTGATCACTTCATTTGAACACAAAGAACACAGTTCAGCTTGAAAAAAAATATATATTTTATTTCTTTCAATTGTGGTTTATAAACTTTCTATATCAATAAGAAACTTTAACCCTTTCTTGTGAGCTGTAAATTTCCATGGAGTCAGTAGAACGTCAAATGGAGCGAATGCATAAAGATGCCGAAGCTTGTCAATTACAGGTAGTAATGATGTCGGATTCTTACTAATGTTTTTTCAAACATCTATAATTTAGAAGCAAAAAGTAGGAACATACAGAATAATTTTAAAAGTGTTCTCGACTGATTTCGGTTTTTCGCATGCAAATTAAATCCAGACAACCTTGAAAATCTCATCGGACAAAATTTGAAATGTGACGTCGTCGATAATCCAACGATTATGCAAGCCAATTTTTCATGTATTTCGTCTGGGCCCCGTACAGCTCAGGCATGAAGTAGAACAAAAATTTTGAAGTCAAGTTTTTGATCGTAATATGCAGGCAAACTAAACCAAATGTCCCGAATTTTTTATGCGACTTCTTCTGGAGTTTTCGGCGGATCGACGGCCAATTTTTTTAACCTGCCCCAATTTTCGATCGCGTTGATGTCCGGGCTAAACAAAAGTTGCTTCATTACGAGGACAAACTTTGCACAGCGTAGGCGCACAATTTAGTGTGTGTAGGTCTCTGGAATCCATTAAAAATGTGTTGTCCGAACAATCTAAAAAACGATAGAACAAAGGAAGAGCAGAGAGAGCGTCCTTGTTGCGGAATCCGCTTGCTGTTCACAAAGTACACAGTTTGGCCTCTTAATGTTTGGATCCGCCAAAAACTCCCAAAGAAGCCTCTCTAAAAGTTCGGGACACAAAATCTTGCTGACCTAAGTGCGCCTGGTTGACTAATTTTTCAAAAAAAAAGTTTTAAACATGTACTTATTTTTAGAATCTGACTTTAATACTGGTGATGCTGATTCTTAGAACAATAAACGGTTTCGAAAATTGGTTTGCAGGCACTTGGTACATCAGCAACAAAAACTGGAAAAAACAATACTAGGTGTAAAGGGTAAAAATAAGGACAACCTTTTCAATTGTGGAACCAGTTTAAACCAGTATTTATAACCAATTATATTCTTGATAAACTATCTCTATAAAATACTTAGAAATAACCAATCAAGATCCATAACTAACACTGACAATAATTTGTAGTGCTGAAACTACTTGTAGTTTCAGCACCAGAACAATTTGAATATAACTTAGAAAACAGTTGTTCTCCTTTGGAACAAGTCCCAGATACCTAACCCGTAAATACCAGTATACGCTAGATCTATTGAGACTAGGAGATTTAAGAGTAAGATTAAGATCGGTATTAGACTAAGAAGTTGCACGAATCTATCCGGCCGAAAATAAGATAGCGTGACGAACAGACGGTGTACCTTATCTGAAATTGCTCTTTGAGTACGCTACTCCAGGCATAACTCAATTATGAATCAATTTAATTCATTGTCTCTTCGGAATCGAGATTCACAGAATTGTCGGTTGAGTGGCTGACAACAAAATGCTACTGTTATCTTCATATGCACGATTTACTACAGCTTCCTTTGAAATTTTAAAGAGTTTAACGGCTCTTGAAAGTGAGAAAACAACCCATTTGTAGATTAAGGATAAACTGATATTAATGGACCATTTGACTCAAAAGTAACAGTTTTTTTGTCAGTTTGTCAGATGTTAGTTTTTGAGGTGTACTTTTTGCAGCGATTGTACAGTTACACCGGATACATTCAGTATATTCTATCATAATTTTTTTGAAAGGTCGATCTTTCTATTCAAATCCAAAAACAATCAAAGTACATCTCATTTTTTTCACTTTCTCCAATCGCAGCTGCTCAAACGAGTTGATAAAAGAGAAAATCCATTTTTTTGGCTAAGTTTTCTTTTAGCTTCTTTTGTACATTTTCGTAGAATACGGTAATTGTTTTAGCTTCTGGGTGCCTTTGAGCATATGAACCGAGAAATAGGGCATTTCCAGCAGATGAACATGGAAGATGTGAGTGCATTTGAAACACAGTGGGCAGAAATGGTCAAATTGGTGAAAGACTATCAACAGAGGTATGAAAGGAAAGCTTTGCAGAAATTAATTTGTATCAAGAGCATGCGGCTCAAAAAGTAAAAAAAAAGCATACGATTAAAAAAAGTAAAAACGTTTCTGCAACCTTTTAAAAACAAACCAGAAATGTCCGAAAATAGAATAGCTTAAAACGTACTTGAAAATTATCTTTTTCTCAGTGCCCCACACTTATGCACTAAATATGACAAGTCAGAGTCAAAAACACAATTATTCAGATTTTTTTCTGCGCAGAGAAAATGTTCTCGAAATAATTTCGAAATCCGAATCAGGACTGTTGAATTATGATACCACTTGTCCAAAATCAGCTTGGCAAAATTTAGAACAAGATTGAGATCGACCTCCCTAGAATGCAATCCCCTAGCTGTAAACCAAACATTGAGTCTGTATTAAATTTTTCAGTACCAAAAATCAGACCTAGCTTCTAGACATTAAGCAAGCTTAGAGTTACATTTTTTCAGTTTTTGGCTCGTTGAATCCCACCAAAAACACTCATCTGTCATATGTAAAAATTTAGCCATGAACATCCATCATTTGTAAAAAAAAAAACAGCCAATTAATTAGAGGAACACTTTCTTCACGTTTTCTTGTTTGCTCTATAACTATTCTAAATTCATCAGTGAATTTTTGTCTAGAAATATATGAGAAATTTTAAAGAGAGTTAACCGAGTGAAAAATAAGCGATGATTTCAAGAGCTTTAGACAGGCATCAGTTTTTTATTCACACAAAATTCGTCAGGGTGGCATTTTGCGTGTCGAAGAGTACAAGGTGTTTATTTTTGGACTCGCAAGTGGTTATTTGGAAGATAATGGTTTTAGCTAGGCCCTCACACATTTTTTTTCAGCAATAAAAAGTTAAAAAACTAATCAACAAAAAAAATAGATTTATACTATGATTTGAGATTTTTAAGGAAGTTTTAGTCAAATTATGGTTTCTAGTCCTTTTCATGTTCCCACTTTTTCAGATCTTGAGCCAAAAACCCGAACATCTTGTGCTGTTTACAAGAACTCTTCAGCACGCGAAACGCCTCCTTGACAAAGTTCGATCAAATAGTTAAACAAGGAGCTAAAAGAGTTACATTTTTTCAGTTTCTGGCTCGTTGAACCCCACCAAAAACACTCATCTGTCATATGTAAAAATTTAGCCATGAACATCCATCATTTGTAAAAAAAACAGCCAATTAATTAGAGGAACACTTTCTTCACGTTTTCTTGTTTGCTCTATAACTATTCTAAATTCATCAGTGAATTTTTGTCTAGAAACATATGAGAAATTTTAAAGAGAGTTAACCGAGTGAAAAATAAAGCGATGATTTCAAGAGCTTTAGACAGGCGTCAGTTTTTATTCACACAAAAATCGTCAAGGTGGCGTTTTGCGTGTCGAAGAGTACAAGGTGTTTATTTTTGGACTCGCAAGTGGTTATTTGGAAGATAATGGTTTTAGCTAGGCCCTCACACATTTTGTTTCAACAATAAAAAGTTAAAAAACTAATCAGCAAAAAAATAGATTTATACTCTGATTTGAGATTTTTAGGGAAGTTTTAGTCAAACTTTGGTTTTTAGTCCTTTTCATGTTCCCACTTTTTCAGATCTTGAGCCAAAAACCCGAACATCTTGTGCTGTTTACAAGAGCTCTTCAGCACGCAAAACGCCTCCTTGGCGAACTTTGTTCAAATAGCCACATAAGGCCCTGAAAGGATTGCCATTTTTGTTTTTGGCCAGGGACCCTCATCTGTCATATCTAAAGTTTTCAGCCCCGAACAATTTTTAAAAACAGCCAAAAATTTTTTTAAATGCCAGTTTATTTTATTGGTTGAAAATTATTAACCCTTCACCGTAATTTTTAGCCAGTTGATATTTTCTTCTCATTTATAGCTGGCTTGTGCTTCGACTGGTTTCCTGTTTGGAACATTATGACATTTTAAGTCAAAAATTGGAAAAAAAATTTAAGCTGTTAATTTTTGCAGTTATTAGATTTTGAAGCTTGTCAAAATTGGGGTAACGCTTTTGAGCGCATTCCCCAATTTCGTTCTGCTTGTAATGGAAGCGGCAAAATAATTCGGCCAAGAAAACGTTCCAAATTGTTCCAGTCAGGTTTACTGATCCAAATTTGCTTGAGATAGGCAATTTTTTTCATTTATTACTTAATGAAAATTTTATTTTTGCACTTTTTTCTCGAAAAACTTTATAAATTGCCAAAAATTGCATGACATACGCTTTAAGGCATTCAAAACTTTCAGAGCTTGGCCTGAAACTTTCAGAAACTTTCATTTACTATCAATCTTAAGCTAGAACAACCATTTTATGTCCATGGAAACCTTTATTTGAATGGTCGATTTATCATAATTTTTCACCGCAATTTCAATTCTAGAACATTCAATAAAATTGTATGGCTATCTAAAATGCATGTTTATACGGTTGTTATTTTTATTCAAAAGCACATTTACTTGAAAAAATTATCACAGCTCACAAAGTTTTACGTGCGACTCATATCATAAAGTCAACAGCTTATAACAATACCACTTAGTACGTAATTTATTTGTGAGCATTGTCTGATCTCAAAACACATTCGAATAACGATTTTCTTCAGCAACGAGCAAGCAGAAAAGATGCTGGGTGTAAGAGAGTCTAGTCTGCACGTGGCTGAAGTAGAATTAGGATGGTACAAACAGAGGTGTGTTCAGCTGCAGGCCACAATAGACGAACTGGCCGACACTTTGGAGGAGGAGATTGAAAAACGAGAGGCCACTCAGCAGGTTAGTTCGGTTCAGACAATTTTAGGAGGGTCATGTTTAGTGGCTTGTACATGAACGCGTGCGCTTTTGACGGAGGCGGCGACATTAAACAAATCGATTCAAGTTTTTTTTATTGCCAGTCACTACAAATTTTTCGAGCTACGCCAAAATCCCAGAAAAACCATTTTTCGCAAAAAAAAATCTCGACACGGTTATGCTATGAGCCAATGCCGATTCTATGATTTTCCTATATGTAGAAGGAACGTTCTTTTTCATAATTTATAAATTGACAAAAATATTTCACAACAAAAACTTGTGTACTTAAGCGGGTCACTCACTTAAAAGGCACCGAAAAAATGTAAGTGTTTGTCAATCGAAAACGGAGAAGGCAACAGAAAAGATAGATTTAAGGCAAACACTTTATCAAAAATTAAACTGCTGATGCCGCAGCTCTTAAACTAAGCGAATCGTTGGTAGAGTCGAAGAAGATTAGATGTGTGTTGTCAGAGTTTAAGCTAATAAAAATATTTAAGTGGTTTTTCAGAGTGTTTCGGATTGGAGCCGCTGCCACGAGGATACAAAATTTAAACTCTTCGAGCACTTCAAGCTGCTGCAGAACTCCTTTCAACAGCTCAAGACAACCACAGAAAAGTAGGCCTGAGTTTTTTTGTCGAAGACGGATAAAAATAATAATTTTTATCCGATTTGCTGAAAACCTTTCAAAAGGTGCTCACAATTTTCGCCATGTCGTTTTTTAAAACTCGGCGAAGAAAATTGACAAATGAGAATAATTTTTAGTTTTGCAGGAAACTCAATTTAGTCGAGGTACAGAAAAAAAACAACGCCTAAATATTCAGTTTTTTAAAGAACTCAAATCTTGATTTTCATTCCTAAAGTACTCGACATTCTGAACTTCAATAACTTTTTAAATTTATAGCATACAAAAAAGCTAATACTTTTTGTATGTTTCAGAGATTTGGAGAACCAAAAGAGTCAGAATAAATTCACCAACTTCAAACTGACATTTGCAATTGAGAGATACGCTGCCAATGTTGAGAAAGAGAAGAAGGAACTGCAGCAGAAAATAGATCAGACGAATGAGGAAAATGAACTTCTGAAGGGAGAACTCAAAAAAGCACAGGCTGAATTGGCAGAGTGGAAAACCGAATACTTTGTAAAGTCAAAAGAAGAAAACATAAATAGACTCGAAGAACAGTACCAGTCCAGGTAATATTTTAAAGACCTTTGAAACCAAAAAAGTTATAATTAAATTTTCATGTATATTATTTTGAGGAGAAAAAAGTGGTTTTGCTAATTAGCGATCAGGATTACAAAAAAAATTTAGGCTGGTTCTCTAAAAGTGATGCGAATTCAAAGATTTTCAAGATTTGAATTTTTCAGGGTTGATGCAAAACAAGATGACTCAATAGTCTCCCCAAATGAAGTTTCCTGTTCAAAGAAGCTTGAAAAATACAACAAAGCTCTTCGTCAAATCTCTCAGCTGGTCTCAGCCAACAGTAGTGAGATTTCACTCTCTCATATTCTAAATCAAATCGCACCTAGTTCTTCTTCAGACGAAGATTATGCAGAAAACGTAGTGGAGGCAGTCGACCAATTCATCTTTAAAAACAACTGTGCAAGAAGTGTAAGTTGGACTAAGAATTTTTAACGATGAATCTGCAATGGAAATTTTTTTTCAAAGCAGAACAAGATTGAATCTTCTAACTTTCTATTAACCTCCTAGTATAGTTTGTTGGCAAAAAAAGTAAAAATATACCCAAAAAATTAAATCAAATTAAAAATTCAAATCTCCCTTTTACATGCTTATTTGAAATAGAACGTAATACGATTTGTATCTAGTATCAATTATTCCAAATTAATTGCCTGAATTCAATTAGCCGTGATTTCGGAGCCGGATTTATTCGATGCTTACGCTTTAAAAGAATGAAATATATCGCGGGTTATTGTTCACAAATCGGCATATTTCAGACCCAATAACCCTTTTTGATTTCTGGCAGTACAAAATTACGTTAAAACTGGTAATTAAAAAAGCTGCGAAGAGAAACAAACCACACCAAATACAAACACACCGTCACTTTCTTCTCCGTCTTGTCGGAGCACCAATCAGAGCGCTTGCTATATGCATTATTATTTATAGGTTCGGATTTAAACCAGCAAGACTGCTCATATATCAGGGCAGAGCCCCGAATGTTCCGACTGCCATGTAAATTGTCTCAACGTTACCAGGCCAAATTGTGTATTTTGTGAATTTTAAGCGGATTCCGCAACAAGGACGCTCCCTTTGTTCTTCTTTTGTTCTTTCATTCTCTTTGATTGTTTCGACAAAATTTTAACATATTTAAAGACTTGTTTGTTGAATCCAGAAGCACACAGTCACAAAATTGTGCGCCTATCCACTGCACAATTTGGCCTCGTAATGAAATAGTTTTTTTTGATAAACTATGAAACTGAACTGTTTAATTTTTACCAGCCAATATTAAAAAAATTTGAGATTGAAATTTCAGTCGTATTGGATTCCCTGAGCTCAGTTTGTATTAGTTTTCGGCTCGGGATGAATTACCACGCAGTCTTTAAAAAACACTCTTACCATATAAAAGTTTCTTTTTTCTTAGACAGTTGGAACAAAACGAGTCCTCGTATCAGGACGAATGAAATTTCCAAGAAAATTTATCCAGCACACAATGCAATCCAAAAAATAATTCATTTAGCGTCTAGTAACGTATCAATGAGACCAAATATGTCGCCTCAAAGCATAATGATAAAAAATTTAACGCCTAAATAAATCACCGCTTTATTAACAATACACCGTGAAAGTAGTTTTTATGTCGAAGATTTTTTAAAAACTATCTACTGTATCTGGTTTGCATTTTTGTTTAGGATCCGTTTTGATCGATATGAATGTCTCTGCATAGTATCTTTCAGTATTTTCTTGTCAGAAAGTTTTGGTAAGTCCAATTGACCAAACATCATTTTAAACTGGGCGGTATTAAAAACGCATTTTCTGAGGCAAACAAACATGAAAAATTTGGGGTCTTTTCAGTTATACGGCCGAAAACTGAAAAATGAAAAATTGTACATTGAAAATTGTAATAACCAAAATAACTGTGAAAGTACTAGTTTACCTGTTTGGTCTCGTGAGAAAGCTAGTTTAGATGATTGGTCCAGCCTATTTCCTAGCAACAAAAGCGAGCCCGGGATTCAAACCTAAGCCTTGGTGTTTGTAATCAAATTCGTACCCGCTAAACTAATTATGCCAGCTGAGTTATCAAGATAGAGAAATTAACATGCTTACTGTGTGAGTTAACCCAAAAACTGTACCACTGTATTTATTAGGGAGTGCAGCATTATTGAGGGACCAAACAAGTAAACTTATACAGCCATTAACCGATGTGTTTTTGTCACAGCAGAGTTTAACAAAAGACTTAAATTTTAGTTGATCATTTGATAAAACAGCATTATTTTCTGTCATCTGTATTTATCGATTAACTGAGCTTCGGTTTAATATTGACTTCCAGCTTTTCTCAATCTAATATTTTTTTCAATCAAGCAGAATTCAGCATTTTCATCTCATTTAATCCTCGTTGTCAAAGCTGTCAAAATCATCTATTTTGGGCAGTGTAACGGAAAAGACCCAAAATTTGCGTTTTTAGTGTCGTACTTTCAAATTTTTATTATTGTTTTTGTTTTTATATGGGCGATAGATAATGCTGTTTGTGTTCAACTTGCACAATGGGTGGAATGTTCAACAAATGCATGGAATCAAAAGCAAACTAACTGGCATAATTTTATCTATTTTTCTTCGAAAGAGCTGAAAATTTCTCATTATTCACCAACATGACTTCAACATTTTATGCTTGAGTATACAGGAATGTATTAGTAGCTTCTGATTACGCAAAAAGGCCCGAGAATTACTTAATTAACTAGAAATAACTAGCCTGGTATCAAAAAAAATCTGAAAACAAGAATCAATTTCCATGCATTTTTTTTCGCTTTAATGACATTCCAGTCAACTACACGAGACTTTTTTGCCAATTTAAAATGGAGAAAATTCAGTGAATTGCCATTCAGAAATGCTTCCGATTGGCGAATCATCTCGTTTTTATGCTAATTTTTCGGCTAGTTTTTTTAGTTTTAAATTAGCGGCACATTTCAAACAGTTGGGATATTGAAAGAAGTTTGAAGCCAAGAATCCTTTGAAAAATGAACTTTTTATGCTTTCTTCTGGGAACTTTTTGTCAGCCGGGATCCTTGTTTGTCTCCATAAAATCGAATTGCTTTCTGTTATCATAAAACTATCTTGTTTCTGCAGACATTCGAGTCGAGTCTGAAAGAGTACGAGGTCAAAGTGGATCAACTGGAGAGTGACCTCAAAAGAGAGCTAGGCACAGACTACTCAGTGAAGAAGGAAGTGCAGCTGCTGAAAAAGAGTCTAGATAGTAATAAGAAGAGCAGAGATGAGTTGGCGAGAGAGGTGACCAAGTTGAAGAAAGAGATCAACCGACTCAACACGTGAGTTCAACTCGCTCCTATACGGATGACTCTTAAGGTCAACTTTTTCTTTTTCTGGAGTGAAAGAAAATAATAAAAATAAGCTCAAAAATTTTAGGCCGTCATCAAACCCTTTAGTTGACAGTACGGATAGAACTTCAAATTGTTAGCGTTGACAGTTTTCATTTTGTAGCTTTGGTTTCAGAATTTTCGGAACGATAACTTTTTTTCAAGTTTTCTGAACTTTTCAATTTTGTTGTTTTTAGTTTACGTCATAACTTTTGTGCATCAAAATAAATATCAAAATATCAAATGATCATGAAAGTTTGTATAATCAATTGCGCCAATTAACAGCAGCGTCGATTAACATTTATACCGTGGCGATCAACACTAGTTGTTTCGACCAAAAATTCATATATGCAGGGACGGACCCTAAAGTTTTCTAAAGGCGCCAAAATATACTAATTTTGATGGGGGATCAAGCGCCGAAAAATAGCAATTTTTGGTCAAATTTTCCAAAAGTGCCTAAAAACTCCTTTTTGGCCTGTATTTTCAAAAATTTGCCTGCGGCGCCAAAACAGGGTATTGTTAGTGCTTTGGAAGAGCTCGGAAAATCAATATTTGGTCGACCTAAAAAAGGTCGACAAAAATTTTTGAAATTTCTTTGAAAATCCGCCCCCCCCCCCCTCGAGAAAATCCGAGATCCGCCCCTGTATTTATGATTAAGTCCTATAATCGAAAACCAAATCAAAACATACAACCCAGCGGAAATGAATATCGACCACAAAACTGGAGGTAAAGCCGGTTGTCTTTCAGAGACAACCAGATCCTAACAGAAAAGAACACCAAACTGAAGTCAAAAGAGACCTCACTTGACTCCATGGTGGCCCAGCTGAAGACAGAACTGCACTCTATAACTACAGAGAAGGGACTGACAGATAGTGAGAACAATTCACTCATGCAAGAAGTACACATTCTGAAGAAGAACTTACACCATGCGTTAGCCTTTACTTTTTAAATTTTTTTTCGGAAGAATTTAAACATAAACACAAGTTGAGAAAAAAATATTTATAACTCGGTTAACTTTTCATAATTATTAGAAAGAGTAGGACTTCTTTAAAAAAAGCCGATAATCCTTTGGCCAATTTCCGTTTAAAAAGAGTAGACTCCAGCGAAGACCATGTAGTGGCAAACTTGAGCCCGCGTAAAACACTAAAGAAACGGCATGGATAGGTTTTAGTGAAACGAAATCAAACATTGATAAGCCAAAAAACTTTTTAGTGAAGACAAATCGGAGCTGCTACTGGTTGAAATTCAGAGACTTAAGGACCAATCAGCGTTGAAGGATGCTTCTCTGTTCGACATGGAACACCAGGCGGAGAAGACTGAGATGTACAAGGACGATGAGAAGCTGAAACTGAAACACAGACTCGGCTGTGTAGATCCACAACTGCCACTAGACGTGCAACTATTGTTCTACAAATAATATTTTTTACATAAAATCATTCGAATTTATAGTTAAAATTTATATATTGCTTGAATTTGAAGACGGACCGCTCGCTCGTAAAAGTTTAATTTTGGCTGACCAATGCTGTCACTTTAGTTTTAGAGCTAGATAGTAAATACAAAAGAAAAAAAACTATTAGTGAAAGAAATTTCTGAATCCACCGAGTGATCTGTAAACTGGTACTGATTCGTGTTTCTGTAGAAGGTGTGTCTTTATTTTTTCTTTGATTTTTTTTTATTTTTTTTGCGAAATGTTACTAGTCTGATTTCTTCAGGTAGTGAACTCCAATTTTAATGCAGCATCTTGCCGCTGATTCTTTGCTCGTTTTTGCAGTTTGACCGACTCAGGGCTATTACCTGTAGAGTTGTCCTGTTTCTATGCAAACTTAAGTGTTCCGTAGTCCGAAAACATTTCCTTGTTTTTCAATTTTTAAGCAATCGAAAGATTTGAGAAGACTCATTTCCGTTATCAATAGCTCTGCAGGAAGTATTTTGCTTTATATTATTAGATCACATACTCTATCAAACTTTCTACGTTAAAAAAACAGACTTTGATTCTCCAGTTTAATTGCTTGCTTATTGCGTTCAATTGTGCAATTTGTTAAGTTTATAAGAAAATTGCGATACATTATATGGGGTAATACTTAGACTTGAATAGGCTAATCCGAACATTTGAGAATACTATGAACTTGATTAGATAAAGTGAATTTTTCCTTGAGCCATTCTGCGCAAAGTTTTGTTAATTTGAGCTGAAAAATTCAAACCTTGTTCCAAGAAAGTTCCTAGATGCCTGCATGATTTTGAAACTTGAAACGTGATTATTATGAAAAACTGAGAATACACTAATTTGAGTTTTGTTTTATCGGAATTCAAAGAGAGAAGATTCTTTTTCCTGTAAACATCAATATCATCTAGCAATTTTAGTGTGTTCTTGCAATAGTTTCACAAGAATTTTGGCTGACTATCAAATTGGTATCATCAGCAAGTTGAGTATCTCGGGTTTGATCAATTAAAACTGAACAAAAACCATTCACATAGATGCAAACAATTGATCCAAGAACTGTGACTAAAGACACAACAAGATTTAGGACTTCCCATTTGGATTTTGTATATGCAAGTTTTACTGCCTGTTGGCGATTTTTCAAAGTGTTCGAAAAGGTTAACAGCCGTTTTTGAGAAACCTATTCGTTCATTTTTTTGTAAAAATATTGTGAAAAACTGATTAAAACGCTTTAGCAAGTTCCAAAAAAAAACTGCTGACTCATCTCCATTGCGACACTAACATCTACTATTTTAAATAACGAAATCATTGCGTCGAGGGAAATTTTTCTCTCTGAAAACCAAATTGCACTTTATTTTAAAGGATTTTTGTCTAAACATACAGCTAAGTGTGTTAATGAAACTCTTTCATAAAGCTTAGCAAAACGTGGCGTCAGAAATCGGCCAATACTTTTGCGCCACTCTATCGTTCCTTTTTTATAAATCGGTGGAATAAACGCTTTATTTAGCTCTTCCTCAAAAATATGTGACCAGATGCATTCATATATTACGAACTGTAGGAGTTTACCCATTGCAAGTTTTGAGCACATAATGATCCATGATGGTATGTTTATTGAACCCTGACCACTGAACAAACTCTGCTTTGTATTATCAAGTTCTGTGAACGCTCGTTAAAACGCATTTGCTATATCATATCAATTACGTGGTTGTTCCCCTGAAGAAGGATGTAGAGAACTTATTTTTGTGCGGGTTTTTAAAATTTCCTAATTTTGAATTAAGTTCCATTGTTCTTTGGTATTTATCATTTTCTGAAAAACTATTGTGACAACCATTCTCAGCGTTTTTCAAAAGTCTATTAACAAGATTTCTCTGTTTGTTATACACTATTTTAATTGCATCTTTTCGATCACTCTTCCAATTGTTAACAAACCGATGTTTTTCAATGATCATCTGCTTTATTTAATTGTTTGTAGGTATTTTGTGTATAGGTGAACGTCCAAATTATTTTTGAATATATCAGTTGAAACGGAAAAAACGCATCGTGTATCTGTCCGCTGGTACATGATACTCCAGTCAGTGAATGCAAAGTCTTTGTTGAAGTTTGACATCAAAATTTTTTTCTGATCTCAAAAACAAAAAAGTTTGATCTTTGTCATAACTGATAGTTAGTTTAGATTCGTCACTAAGCAAAAAGTGATCACTATTAATTGGAGACTCATAACAGTTGAAATTACGGATCTGTTGTTTTGACATAAAGCTGTGATCAATGAGCGAGTAAGTTGTATCTAATCTGGTGGAGCCTCACAAATGATAAGTTTGATTCCATTATTTGCCTTAAAATTATTCAACTTTGTTAGGTCTTGGTATCGAAAAACATCTGCATTATTATCAACAAAAAAACTTCAGCTGATGTTTTGCATGCCCCGACATTTGTGGCGTTAGTTCTTCTTAAAAAACTCTACTAGGAATTTATAGGGACAAAGAAAAACTTTCAAAAGTATTTCTGTGTCAATTGGTTCTTATTTCTATCCACATTGATTCAAAGAAAGGTTTATTCATTGTGTTGAGGTCATGCCTTTTTCACGATATATTTATAGGAGCCCAAACTCAAACACTAGCACCCTTGCGAACTCCTGTCGACTTTGCTCTTGCACTGCAAGTGTCGTAAACTTGAACTTGGGGTTGAGAAACGTTTTACCTGTTATTTGACTTTCCTCTAGCCAAGTTTCAGTGACAATGAAAAAATCAGAGAGCCTGGGTGACCTTCAATATCTCTTGATGAAATAGGGCGTTTAAGTTAGATAATTAATTGGTGCCTGTTACAGTTTATCAAAGATTATTAAAAAAACCGTTCCTTGAGTTTAGAGGCCCAAGTTTTATGTAAACTATACGAGGCCTAAAAATTATCAATTAAGACAACTGGAAAAAGGGTAAGAACTCTGTATTCGGGTCAGAGGCAGATCTAGGATTTTCTCGAAGGGCGATTTTCAAAAATGAATCGACATTTTGAGTTGGCAGGGGGTCGAATCACAACTGGTGGGGGGGGGGGGCGTCTGCCCCCATGTGAATCAGTAGGGGATTTAAGAGGCCTTCCCGAAATCAGCTACTGATTCGGGTGTGCTTTAGTTCAGGTACCGCAAATAATCATCGAAAAAGGTCGAGTGATGTAACAATTTCAAGGCTTTGCAGTCGCGATTCGAATGACATTTGAAAAATTTCAAAAAGTTGTCTTAGTTTCGAGAAAAACAGGTTTAAAATTTTTGAGTTTTGATTCAACTTCGAGCGAGTTCGTTAAATGATAAATGTATTCATCGAAGGATGAAAACATTTTAAAGAAACTGCAGTTGAAAGTAACTCAGTTTCAGAAATAGTGCTTAGAAGTCAATTTTGTACATCCGCCTTCAATTATAAATTAAATCAGAACTAAAGCTGAGACAACTTTGTTCGCCATTTATCTGGATCTTCGTATAATTCTTCCACTGATAAAAACTATAACACAGAGGCGAAGCTAAGCTTCACTCCACTTGCAATACAACACTAACATAACAAAGCATAAAAAAAACGAAAAAAAAAATATGTTGAAAAAAAACTAGAAATCAAAACGTTCGTATACTCAATACAAGAAAAGAAGGGGCCAAGTAAATCTTGGAAGTAGCTGTTTGAATTCTTTGGAATTTGTTTTACTTATGCTGGATGAAATTAGTAATTTGAAACTTTGGACATTGGCCCGAAACCTTAGTTGCTTCTGTAAAAAATAACTGAGAAGAATTAAAATTTTAAAAAATTGCTATCTTCCCAAATACATAAAAATTTCCTCACAAAAAAAGAGTACGCCGCTTCTGAAGGAAAAATTCTCCCATTCGGTTTTTTCGATTGAACCCTTCATCCCAAATTGATAAGATAGTTTCTAGGAAAATCAAAAAGTTTCTAGGAAAATTAAAAAAAACGGTCAAAAATTCAAAAACGTGACTTTCCGAAATCTATCCCTTTTTTCTAGAATAAAAAGGTCGTAGCCGCTTGAAAATTATCAAAACCGGGTTCATCATCTGAAACTGCAAGCTTAACCTAACATGAACATAGCCAACTGACAGTTGGAAGAGTAATGAACGCAATGAAACTAAAAAACAAAACAACTTGTTTTTTCAAACATCTTCGACTTTTGAATTTCGAATGAAAAATTAGCTTGACGGCTCTTTGAATTTATAAAACATTTTATGATGGACACTTTTTTGGTTAAAATTAACCCAATTTGTATAACTTTTATTTCGCTGGGAAATCTGATAATTAATTTCCATTTTCGAAATTAGAAGTCGATCACGTTTTTCGTGACCTTAGCAACTTTGCTATTCGAGTTGAATTTGCCTTCCACTATAGAAAATTGAGCGTAAACAAATTTCAAAACTTTTTCCTGAAAAAAAAACAAAAAATCAGCAAGACCTATATTAGTGTCTTCACTACGTTCATTACTCTTAAAAAACAGCAGGGTAGTTTTCGAGTCAAAAAGTTTCCACACAATGATCAAAAAAATTGAATCATACCTTTTGTTTTAAAAATATTTGGGCGTAGCCGCTTGAGCAGAGGAGATTCAGATAATCTGTTTTTCGATTTAACGCATAAACTCAAGATTGCGTTTTCGAAAAAGTCAAGTAGTTTTAAAAAAGAGTTTACAAAAACGATTTTTTGACTTTTCCGAGTTCCATAACTTTTGGTAGAATGAACATTACTATGCAGCTGAGCTCTCGACAAAGCGTTCTATCCATTGAACTTAAAGTCTCAGATCAGATGAAAACCAAAAATATGGGTCAAACATTCCCCTCACAGACATTTTCGAAGGCTGTAGACAATAGAGTAAAGTAAAAAGAGCCAAGTAGATTATGTAGGCACACAGGGAGTGGCCGCTCTTTTCATTGATATGCTTTTTGAACTTCGGTAGAGTAGTTTTCTACTGAAGTAAAATTTTTGTTGAAATGTGAAAAAAATTCGAAAGGTTCTCAAAAAATAAAAAGTAAAAAACCAAATCCCATACATTTTCATAAAACCTGAATTTGCCGAACAAGTATTTTGCCGTCGAAACTACAAAAAACAAGCTGACTATACCAAGTCAACATCAGCCCAAACCATTTTGTCGAAAAGAAAATACTATAAAAAAAGTTATTCAACATCAGACGTGGTAAAATGAAAATTTACAGAAATTTCAACTATAGTAAAAAAATACTATCAAAATAAAATTCATGCTTGACAAAAAAGGTTGATAAAAATTAGTACCAGATAAGGAAAACGATATTTAAAACTAGAAAAGAAGATCCTCTAGAAGAGGAGACCCTCTAGAAGTGATCCTGTGGACAAAGTTGTTTACGAGAAAAAAGTTAGTACCCAATTGCAATACCCTTGCTTATCGCAGGGCTAAATATAAACTATCATCAATCTGAATAAAAGTTTTCAGCATAACTCTCTAATTTAGCACCGATCCTTGAACAGTGAACAACTTTTGCTAGACATATTGTACAAAACTTTCTTATTTCGTCTCATCAAATACGACGGTGGGAGCTTGAGCATGAATTATTATTCTATTTTGCAAGACACGTTTCTGGGGCACAATTTTTTCTATAAAAACACCTGAATCCAGAATTCTTCGGTCGGAATAACAAATAAAATGTGAACAAAATGCTTGATAATTGCGGAAAAAAGCAAAGAATTTTCTTAATTTTTAAAACTAATAGGGATCAAAAATTAAATTATTTGTTTCCGAGCCGGGGCAAAAATATACCTTAATTTATTATTCTACTCACATCGCATCAAGCCAAAACTGTACATAAAAACTAATAGAATACTGGAAAGAGTTTTTTTACTCTACTGAGCACCAATTCAACACTCTTTTTGGTCACGTGGTTGTATTTGAATCAGGGTTGGCGTTGATATGTGTTCGTTCGAAAGACGGTCTTTGTTGTTGCGTTTCCGGCGCACTCTTTGAGGGGGACTGGGACGATAAACTAGCCGAAACTGACGCCTTGGCCGAATGCATTTTATTCTGCCAGTATCCTAGCGACAGTTTGGACTCTTTGCACTCCTTCTCGCCACTGTATGACCAACTGGTATCTTTGTCTGCTGAGTTGCTTGTGGAGTTGTGGTTTTGGTGGTGTTGTTGGGGGTGTTGTTTGTTTGTGATTGAGATGTACTTCTGGTGAAGAATATAAGCCTGTCGCAGTGTACCATCTAAAGAGTGCTGGTAGTGTTGCAGTGTGTGCATGGTGTGGTTGAAGTTGCCCTAAAAACAATTAGATATTAATTTGATGATATCAGGGGAGGATTTGTGGGCTTCTAATTGACCCCTCATTGGCCAATGGTTTCCACATGTTAGTTTTTGAAATCAAACTTGTTTTTTGATGCTTTCTTTTAAATTTTACTCCGATTTGGTGATCAAGTCGCTTCCAGTGCCAAAAACAATAAAATGTACAGAAAACAAAATATTGTTTCGATTGAACATTTGTAGCCAATTCAGTATCCAGTATTTACCAAAAAATTAATTTCTCATGTGACTTTATAACCCCACTTTATAAGAGCGTCATTTACTAGGTCAAGGGCACTTTCCAGAGTGAGGAGTGGTCATCAACGGGATCACGTGAAAGCAAAATCGTATCTTCGAGAACTAGGTGCACCAAAACTCTTATGGCAAAAAACTTGAACATGTATATTGTGATCAAGTAATTATGCAGTTTAACATTCAAACTCAATCAAACGATGCCATTCAGCTGCAGTTGACCAAAACATGTTTCAAATATGTACTTTGCCCTGCCATAACGCATATGTAGAATGGTGTTAGTCTCATTTTTGGAAAGCCGTGAAATCGCTAAGAAAGGAAACTATGACAGAGCAAAGAAACAGAGAGAGCAAAACACACCATGTCAAATTGTGCGTCGCTCAATTGTATAACATAGCTAACAGATGATTGGAAAATTTTAAAAGAACGAGAAAACCCAAAGAAATATATCGACATTTTTTCAACCTATCAACAAAAAACATATATCATGTGAATTTCGAGAAATGATTTTAATTGTCCTCAAATTGTTACGACCTAAATAAATGAAAAACACTTCGTTCTCTTCATTTACAAACATAGCCAACAGACAGTTCGAAAAAATCAATAAAACTAAAATATTGTTTTTTAAAGAATTTTCGAATTTAAAGAAAAATTATGTCCTTAAAGCTCTACGACTTTCAAAAACATTTTATGATTGGTACTTAATTGATAAAATTAACCCAAATTAAGAAAACTGAATCAATAGATTAATTTCTATTCAGCTGAAAAATCTGAAAATTAAAATCGTGACTTTTACCGTGACCTTTACAACTTACTATTCGATAGTAGAGTTTGCCTTACTTTTCTAAAAGGAAATGAACTCAACTTAGAAATAAATCAAAGGTCAAACCGCAGAAAAATCAAATTTGTGCGTGAACCAAATTCCTTTTCGTGAAAAAACCAAACAAAAAATTATGAAGGCATATAAGATCCTTCACAACGCTAATCGACTTTTAAAAAAATAATAGGAATATTTTGACTTCGTGAGCTTAAAATTCTCCAAATTCACGTCTCTTAGTATTAACTCTTTCATGACTTATGACACTTTTAACCCCATCATAACATTGTTGGTCGAAATTTCTAAAATATATAAACTATTGTTGTTTCTGCAAACAGTAGGAAAACCTGCGATTACCTGATCCAGAAAATGTACACCAGAAAACGTAATCTTAAATACACTAGAAAAAATAATTGCTATTTCCACACCTGCAAGGAGGGAACTTGAGTTGCAAAAACAACAAAATAGTCAAATAGCTACTAATAAAGTTCTCATGAATTATCTTTACTTTGAATTAGTATCAAAACTATCATCCACAGGCTATAAATTAGGAAACAAACACCAGCAAGACACAGCATTTAGGCAATTTAAAGCAATGTTTATTCAATATAAATTTAGAAAATACAGTCTATGAACAGATCATCAAACTCTAAAACAGTCTTTTTAAAGTATGAATGTAATTCTGAATGGCAATATCATTTTTTTTCACAGAGGCGAAGCTTCGCTTCGCAAACACTAATGAGAACACGACAAAAAGCAGCTCTAGGAAGGTCAATAAGAAAAAATAGAAATAAACCTCAATTTAACAAAAATTTGGCTAGGCTAGGATTCGATCTGCGACCTACTGCAATAAAGAGATTCAGATTCTCACGAACTAACCACTCACGCTTAGCCACCGACAAACTCTAGTCATGAATTAAATAGCTACATATGATAATTAATTGTCAATGCCATTCAACAAAAAACGCACCAAATACAAATAGACACACTTTTGCAAGTAATTATTTGGAATATAACAAACTGAAGTCATCCACACTAACTTAGCATGTAACAAATCGCAAAGCATAACGCCACATTATGTATGAATTATGCATTTCAAAAAATTGCGAGATATAATGAGTTAGAAAATTTCTGAAATCGAGTTTTTATGATTATATTGTTTGAAACAATTAGCTTTTTTCGGCTCATTTGATGAATTAAAAATGCATCAACTGTGTTAACTAATTACTATTCGAATGCCAAAGCACATGCTATCAAAAAGTTGTAAAAATGCCTCCAAAAAAAGCATCAATATTTGACACTTAGGTTATAAAAAAAGAAGTTTCTTAATATTACACTAAGCTGACGCTAGTGTAAACAATACTGCCATTCAAAATTATGTTCATAATTTTAAAAACACTATTTTAGAGTTTAATGCTCAGCTCATAGACTGTAATCTGTTCCGAATAACATTTCTTTAAACTGCCAAAGTGCTGTAGTTTGGTGGTTTTTGTTTCCTAATTTATAGCCAGTGGATGACATTTTTGATGTTAAAATTTAAACTTAAGATAAGTCATACGAGAATATTATTAAACGCTAGTTGACTGTTTTTGTTGTTCTTGCAACTCAGATTCATTCCTTGCATGTGTGGAAATAGCAATTACATTTTCTGGTGTTTTTCAATCATATTTTACATCTATTTGAAATCCTTCAAAGGGCAGTCTCTCGTTAGGTAATTGCAATACTTTTTAGACTTACCTCAGATTTTAGGATGAACTTAATGACAATTGATTATATTTTTCTATTTTGCCGAAGAAATATTTAATTTAATTTAATTTTTGATCGCTATTCTCACCTGTAGAATGGTGTTTCTCTCTGTATGCAGCATGGCCACTGCGACAACTATGGAGTAGAAGAACCTGTCTGGGTCTGCGAACAGAGTGTCCCACAGTCTCTCTATGTCTGGTAGGTGGAACTCCTGGGCGAAGAGGAGACTGAGCCAGCGGAAGGCGTAGAACTGCGGGTGGATCTGCTGTCTATGTAGGGATATGTACAAGTCCCAATCTAACGTCTTTAGAACCTGGATCAAGAAAGAAGAATTAGAAAAGTAGATTTCCTGTAACAGGGGAGCCAATCAAATCAGAAAATGTATTCGAAAAATAGATCGTTTTCAAATAACTTTTTTCTATGTCGGTATCAGGAACTGAAACTTCCCTTTAATATTATCGACCATTTTATCATTCAGATTCCTTTAATGCTATTGAAAAAACCCAAGTTGACCAAACAACTCAAAAATGATTTCAAATGCGCCTTTGCAAGCAGTTTACTCTAAATTTCAAAAAAGCATTTTTAGCGATTTAGGAGACTTCGAGAAGATACAATAAGTGAGCTGGCTAGCCTGGTTGAGCTGTTTGAACTTTCCCTCTATACCGTCGGCAGAGTTATCTAGACTCTTGGTGTAGACGTCTCTGTTCTCGGACATGAGACTGACGAAACAGAAGAAAGCGTCTGCCTCCGCCCACGCAGCCCACTCTCTCCTCTTAGAAGTGGCGAACACGTGGTAGATCGGACCCAATAGCTCATTCATTCCCTACAACAGTAAAAAGTTGCCTTTAGAACATTCTCGAAGGTGCAAAGCAAAATTTAGTCAGAAGGTAGTGCAAAAAAGAGCCTATGGTAAGTGAAGGGGTCAAAAACATGCCGATGGTACCCGTACCTATTAAAGCTCCGTCCCTATGAGTGACTGATCAAACGGGCAGGAATAGACCTATTTTCGACAGAGTAACGAATCTACTCTTGTAACAGGAGGATGTGATATTTGAAATTAGATGTTCGATCACTTAAACTGATTAAATTCAAATCAACCCCTTTACAATGCGGCAATTTTACCGGAATGATTCTAACACAGAAGGGAAGATGCGCTTCGCAAACACTAGCGGGAAAATGACAAAAAGCAGCACTAGAGTTCTCAAAAGGGCAATAAGAAAAGTACAAATAAGCCTCGAATTTGTAAAAACTCGGCGACGTCTCGGACTCAAACCTGCGACCTAGAAATTATGAGTCTCACGCGCTAACCACTCAGCCACGGACGATTAGTCCATTACAAACACTAGCCACAAAAAAGCCGACAACAAATGCTTTGAAATTTCCAATGCTACAGACCGTGATTATAGCAAAAAGGTACACAAGTGCACACTTTTGATGAACACTTTTTTTTGCGAGTTAGGTTAGAAAAAAGGAGGTTCTTACTAATACACACTAGATACCCGCTAGCATAAAAACTTACATATTCATAGATCCTACTTCATAAATTAATTTGCCTATTTGCCTGTCAAGCACAAATAGATGTGATATTATCAATATGGTTCACCAAAAAATTATAGACTCCTTGCATTTAAAAAATTCTCATGATTTCGGTGAACCTTTTAAGCCAGTTCGACATTTTGTTCTCAAAATTATAAAAATAAATCTCGGCTGTTTTAGCTACAACACATCTACTGGTACCAGTTAGGTCGTTTTTCCTTTGAGAGGTTACAAGGTTGTAATGTACTGAAAGTTGAGATCTCTACCAGTTTGAGAAACAACATGAATGCTGTTTTTAAACACATCGATTTCTCAGCGACAACCAAATATGAGATCAAAAACTATTTCCAGCATTGAATTGAGTCAATATCTTCAAAGCTTTTTTCCACCACCGCTAGCCTTTATGAGCTCCATTCACGTCGGATCAATCGTCCAATCCCATCAATTGATCGAATTTATATAACGGTCACTTTTTTCATCAATAATGGAATGATGCACAACTCATGACTACCATTCAATCATTCATTGCATAATGCATTGTTAGCTTGTCAGATGGATAGCTTTGACCTTTAGCATTTTGCAAATCGCCCTCTCACAAGCCTCAATGCTATGGCGATTGACATAAATACCAATTATTTCTACAATGAAGTTATCGGCATTTTTGCAAATTAATTGCATAGTACTGTTTTCTAAACAAAAACGCAGTTGGGGAGCGCATAGTTCGCTTCCCAACAATTTCTGTCAAGAGCATCAAAACATGATATCTTAAACTTGAATCATTTCACTGCGTTCTGATTTGCCCTCCCGCAAAATGCCTTTTTCATCTTGCATCTTATCCTACCACATGGGGCTCATAAGCAGAAAGGAAGCAGACAATATTAATTCATACCTTTCAAAAAAGAGACTGCTTCAAGAAATACACACTCTCTTGGGAATATCAGAATAAAAGCATGAAAGAATACACGAATTGGGTTCAAAATGAGCGAAAAATCATTAACTATGGAAATACTTTTGAGCTGAATTAACGTGAAAAGTTTAAAGAAAATCATGTGAAAACCTATAGATTTTATGTTGCAGATTTTTCTTTTTTTTCAAACTATCATCGATTAATAAAATGAACTAATGTGAAAAGGTAAACCTGAACCCAGTTAACTCCAAGTCTATTACTATTACGCCCTATAGCTTATTTCAACACTAAATACCAGTACATTCGGCTTGATTACCATGCTTCGTGTTCATACATGGCGCACGAAACTCCTTTTCTGAACTTTTCCGCGTTGCTTGTGATAAATTAGGGGGCTCTTAAGCCTTGCTAATTTATGCTCTGCTATTTCCCTCGATGTAATTTGTAACTATTAGTCTCCAGCTACTCAATCTTGATTCTACCAACCTGAATATATTCAGGGACCTTAATGAATTGGGCATGTTTGAAGACAACTACTTAGAGTTACGTTGGAATAAATCAATTTAATGCAGAAGCGAAGCTTCCCTTTGGAAACAAAAAAAGGCAACAAAAGCTAATACAAAATTCAAGGAAAAAAAAATGAAAATTAGCCTTGAATCATAAACAACCCGAAAATTCATAAGCAGGAACTTCAATAATAAAGAAGAATAATTGAAGGCTAACTAATTATAATTTCACATGTGCTAGACCAAGGAATACTAGGAAGCAATAAAAACAGCGGATGCAATCTTTTTAACTTATGAAGTAGTAAATTTAATTCAACTCATTTTGGCAACTGAAATTAGCTATAAAACAGGTTAAGTTTTCAGACTAGCTTCTTATAGCTTTTAACAAATTTATCGGAAAACGTATTAAATTTCTGAATTGATTCTGACATTCAAACTTACATTAAATCGAAACAGTTCTTTTCGCGCGTTTACCTTTGTGTCGGTGTTTTTTTTTTGCTCTGAAAAATTACACGGCAAATCGTTGTTGAATGAAAAAATTTTCAATTGTTCTTGAAATTAGGCAAAAATGAAAATTTCATTTTTGCCTAATTTCAAGTACACAATTTAAAAAATTTATTTTTTCATTCAACAACGATTTGCCATGTAATTTTTCAGAGCAAAATAAAACATGAAATGCCGACACAAAGGTAAACGCAAACAGAAGTGTTTCGATTTATTGTAAATTTGAATGTCAAAATTATTTCAGAAATTTCATACGTTGGTCGATAAATTAAATAAAAGATATAAGCGGTGAATCTTCGGATTTCGATCAGGTTTAATTTGAAGACTGAAACTGATTCCCAAAAAAAATTTCAGAAACACTTCGAATGAAGAACTTCTTGAAATTCATTCTTACGGTTTTAACTGATTCGCAAAAAAATTCCGACAAGCAATTCAAATGATGACACTTGTAATGCTGTGCTAATCGGACCACTTGAACTGTTTCTCAAGAATTTTCTGTTTTCACCCAATTTTCAACAAAAACTAACTCTTTCCGTTCCGACTTGCAAGGGTGGCTTTTTTATTTTTATCAATTATTAACTTTCGACTTTTTAAATAAAATTATTTAAAAAACAAAATCTGGAGATTATCTCTTCTGAGCTCAAATTAAAAACATAGCCAACAGACAATTGGAAAAGTATAAAATAACAAGGAAAACGACAGAAAATGATTGGAAATTTTTCATTTTTTCGAAGAAAAACACATCACGCTGAACTTCAAATACTGATTATTATTGGCATATTTTTAACAAACTTATCCTATTTTGAGAAAGCTGGATTATAGGTATTTTTTCTTTATTTCTCCAGGAATTCAGAAAACCGAAGTCCCATTTTAAAAAAAAGCCATTCACATTTTGGGATCTTTTCACTTTTGCTGTTCGATAGTGGAGTTTGCCTTCACTTAACAAGAAAATGAAAAAAAAACTAAAAAAATCATAAATCAACCCGCAAAAATCAAAATTGAGGTAGAACAAATTTTAAGACTTTATCTTGCAAAAAAAATCATGAAGACCTATCTTAAAGAAAATCAAATCGTTCTTTTACACTTAAAAAAATCACCTGCGAAAACATGAGGGTTTAAATGCCTAATTTGTGATAATTAGCGCGAGATACGTTGAGTTCTTATAACGAAGAATTAAACTATTCCATAATAAATTGAGGTTAACATCTTGCTTTTATTAAAACAATACGAGACACTCAATATAAAGGGACAAAAATAAGACAAAATGGAAAAAAATATATTCAGTTATTCAGTTAATTTCGGATACTTGATCAGTTTTTTTAGACAAAACTTGCTTTTTCTTCCGCTTCAAGTGGCGGTCAGCATATCCAGAGCTTTGCCCTGATATATGAGCAGAGCAGTCTTGTTATTGTTCAAGCTGGTTTTCAAAAGCTTCAACCAAAAAGAAGGTCAAAAGTTTTTCAAGGCTAATTAGCCATCACATGAAAGTTAATTACAATGACCTTGCTTGAGGAATTTTTCTAAAAACTAGCTAGAATTTTCCTGTTTTCAGAATACTTGAAAGTTCTAGGATATTATTAGCTCTCTTATTCTATAAAATTGCGCTGGAAAACCACCTTTTTACCCATTTCACCTGCATAATTTTGTCATTCGTTTAATTTAAAGAGAAATCATGCTATTTGACATCGCTACAGGGGCGGATCTAGGATTTTCTCGAGAGGGGGGGGGGGCGGATTTTCAAAAAATTTTGACGACCTTTTTTTTTTTTTAGGTCGACCAAATTGATTTTTCGAGCTCTCTCAAAGCACTGTTTTGGCCCTACTTTGGCTAAATTTTGTGCGCCGCAGGCAAATTTTTGAAAAAAACAGTCAAAAAAGCCGTTTTTGGGCAATTTTTGAAAAATTTTGACAAAAAAATCGCGTTTTTTTGGCGCGCGCTCCCCCTCAAAATTAGTATATATTGGCGCCAAAGGCGCCTTTAGAAAAATTTTAGGGTCGGTCGGCCAAAAATGGATTTCTGAAAAAGTATCAAAGGGGGGACCCTTTGGGTCGGCAGGGGGTCGAATCCCTGAGGGGGGGGGGGGAAGGGCGGACGCCCCCCCCCCTAAATCCGCCCCTGCATCGCTAAATATAAATTAATTTATAAGGTGAACAAATAACGTCATTTTTTGGTGAAAACCTTTCAAGAAAATTCCTAAAATTTCCTATTTGGATGCAGAATTGACAGATTGCTCTTTTCAATTGATTTGTACATCCGAAATTATCACAACTTACTACAACTACAAACTTCTCTTCTAACCTGTACATATCCGGTGGCTTTATTTAGTTTGGCGTATATGAAGAGAATGCGTTCCACCACCTCCCAGTGCACCTCTGCCTCCTCCCCCAGAGAGTAGCTCTCCACCAGTCGCTCGGGGGAGTCATGTGTGCTGATTCCATTCCTAGACAAAACAATACTAACTAGGATTATCGGGCATCTAGTATTATCCTGCGAGGCTCCTTTTCATCTACTTTTTTGGAAAAAAATAGTCAATTTATAGGCTAATTTTTGAGGAAATAAGGTTAACAAGCCAAACTTCCAACAAAAAAAGCATTTATTAGGCGCACACTCTCTTGTTCCGGATAAGTGTACACTGGCGTCAAAGACGCCGTTACAAACTTGCAAGGACTGGTTTAATGGATGTCCCAAAATAGTATGAAAAATAGGGCTAATTGAACGGCGAGTGGAGCGTCACCCCTAAATGCGTTTCTGCTTAAAAATAGTAATTTTTTTCGTCTTTCGTGCAAAAAGCAAACAATAAACCAATTGGTAATAATAAAAATTGATTTGATGTGAAATTGGTCTACTTTGCTGATCCCTTGATCTCCTGGAACACTCCCCACTCGACTCTCTTCCTCAAAGTCATATAAGACACAGTACCCCCACCACTTCCCATCTCCAGCCTCTCTTCTAATCCCCGCAACCCCATCTCCCCATTTGCACTCGTGCAGCAGAAACTAGAGGCTGGGTAGGGTGTGGGTTTTTGGAAGAACGAATAGTCTGCAAACAGTTGATTTGTTCGAATAGATGGCATTTTGGTGCAGCCTATCCATAACTTTATCATTTTTTTTAAAACACACGGACAAAATATTCATTTCAAATAGAATTATCATTATAAGGTGACTATCAATATCAAAAAAGTATTTTGTAAAAATAAATGAAACGCTTGTTGTCAAGCACTTCCAGTTTGAATAATATTCAGCTACCTCTTAAAACTATAGAAATAATGATTACTTCAAAATTGAAATATATTTGTCGCTCATTCTAAGACATGACCTGGAAAGAGTCTGCGGCAGTCTTTGTCTATCTGTTGGAGCAGGTCTGTGTTGTCCTGGAAGTATTGCTGCCACTGTGAGTTGCTGGCTACACTCAACGGGTGGTCTGTTTCTTCATTCTCATTCACACTGCACTGTTCGGGTGACTTGCACAAGGGGTCATTGTTAATAACTGAGGAGGCTAAAAAATGGAAGAATTATTATAATATAGCCACCAGACAGTAAAAAGTACAATGCACTTAAGAGATTCATTAAAACAAGTTTTTCAACTTTTGAGTTTTGCAGAAAAAAAAGATAACCCTAAAGACCTTTCAATTTGAAAGCTAATTGCGGTAACCACTTTTCTGATAAAAATTAACCCAATTTCGAGAAAAAAAAACAATTAATCAGTAATGTTTATTCCACTGAAATATTCAAACAAATACCCACCCGCACTCAGTAAAAAGACAAAATAATAGATTATACGGGATTTTTATTGTCAGTCTCCATAAATTTCAAAAAAAAGAGATTACCATCGATTAAAAATGGATTATAATGTTACTATTTTTCGAAACAAAACACCCATCATAATCGATTATTTTTTGAAAAAATTATTTCTGAAATTTTATTGAATTATAATCCATTTTAATCGATTATAATCTATTTTTATTCAAAAAACGTCATCGCTTCATTTCGTTTTATTTTGTGTGCTTTTCAGTTGGTTTCTTTTCTTACTGTTTACTGCAAGGACGGATTTAGGCGGGGGGGGGGCGGACGCCTTTTTTCAGGGATTTGACCCCCTGCCTACCCAATAGGGTACTTTGTACTGATTTGAGAAATCCATATTTGGTGATGGACCCTTTGGCGCCAATAAAAACTAATTTTGAGGGGTAGCGCGCCGTTTTTGGCCTGTTTCTTCAAAAGTTTGCCTGCGGTGCACAAAATTTGGCCAAAATAGGGTCTTTTAAATGCTTTGGGAGAGCTCGGAAAATCAATTTGGTGACCTAAAAAAAGGTGGATTAAATTTTTGGAAATCCGCCTCCACCCTTCGAGAAAATCTCATATCCGCCCCTGGTTTACTTATTTCTTACTTCATACTGATTTTTACTGTGTTTTCATGCAGAATAGCTAAATTATAATAAATTATATTTCATTTTTCTTGTAAAATATTATTTTGATAGAAAAAGGGATTATAATCTATTATAATAGATTCTTATAGATTATAAGAGAATATAAGAGATAGCAAGAGATTTTCGGAAAAATTATATTCAATTATAATTGATTATAACTTATTAAATTGTCACCAAAAATTTTATCATTAAAATGGATTATAAATCGTTTTAACATCCAAAATTGGCGCTTATAATTAATTATAATTTTGCTAAAAATACGATTATAATTATAATATAATCGATTATTTTTCTTTTTACTGAGTGCGGGCAATGTCAAGAAAAGCAAGATCTACCAAAATGTTCATTTAGTATTCATGAATAAATTTCACTTTTTTTCGTAATAAAACCATACCAAATAACACAATTGAAAGTACACTTGCATCGAAACAAAGCGGTACAAAAGTCGACGATTTTTGAGCAGACACCCATTGAGCCCCAAAAAATTGTTTTCATGAAAAATTTTCGAAAGTTGTGAAATTACCCCTTCAAAATACACATGCATCGGCATTTTGTTTCGCTCATCTGACGCTGAAGTATGATACAACTAAGCTGACCATGTAGAAACCGAAAAAAATGAAATTATACCAAATCGGAATTAGTAAATTTAAACCAAATATTTAAAAAAACTATTGAATATATCGGGTATTTGAAATGCAAACTTGCTCAAAAAAATGTCGGTTGGTTGACGAAAGTGCAGATTTGAGAAAATCATTCAGTGATTTTGTTGGACATGTTGTTTACAAGAATAAGTCTAAGACCCAAACTGATACCACTTACTCATCGCCAGCAGAATCATTGCATAGGTAATTACTCCGCGCTTTTTAATGGACGGAGTAAACAACTTCGCACAATTTTTGAAAAAAAGACTAATTTTTCAAAAAAAATGCGGAAATTTTTCAAAATTAAATTCCGTACTTAAAACCGTTCAACTGATTTACCTACATCGATGGTGATTTAGAAATAGTATCAAGAACTTATAAAAAAGCTGAACTTTCAACAAGAACCCGTGCTACCGGAACTTAACCAATAAAACGAACAGACGGACGACAGCCAGATGTGATGGAGGGTTGATTGATTTTCCTTTATCAGGAAGCACGATATTTTTTTGGGTATTTTTCTGGGCTGGGTATTGTTGTCTCATCTTCAAGCAATGAGCATGGATCGTGGTGGGCCTCAAACTTCCGACCTTTCGATTGAGGGGACGTAACGAATAACCTCCACTCTTCTGCGATGAGGGATGCGGTAGTTGAAGCAATCCCACAAAAAAGCAATCCCCTTGCTCGCGAACCATTCATTTTAAGCTCATATGTCACTCACTTCATATGTCATCAAAACCAAAAATGACAATCTGAACTAACCTACTTGATTTTCCCGATGTTTCATGCCTGGGCGCACAATAAAAAAATTCATGTAGTCAATATACAGCTGGCGCTTTTCCTTCAATACACTGGGCCATTTGGCTCTCTCTAGGGGGAGATAGTTGAGTAATACTTTCCATGACACGTCTCGTAGGCCAGCCTCGTCGGGAACACCCGTAAACGAAATCTCGCGAATTACATCTAAGTCGATTAGATCTTTATTCAGTTCAGCTCGCAAGTAATCAGATTTTGTCATATATTCAGGAGAAGTACTCATGATAACAGAACAGAGGTCAGAATAGTCAAGTAAATAAAGAAGAGGGGCTCATTTAAATTAAGTTCATCGTGGAATTAATTGGGACTCTGACGTACAAAGACCGACTTCAATTTTTCATTATACAATTTCTTTATAAAGAGCGAAAACATCGAGAGTTTGAAGGTTTTGTGGATTCTTTCGCCATATTTAACTGTATATTATCAACTCGTGATTTGTTTGCGTCGATCGAGTCTATTTATTTACAGGTAAACAAGACTTGAGCGAGAATAATATCAGTCCATGGCAGTCTGAATGAGCAAAATTAATAATTCGCAACCATTTATCAACGAAGCGGAACTTTGCATCACTTCTGCCACATCACAAACATAGTATGCCAGACTAGCCAACGGGAAATGAGACGAAAGCTCACTAAAAAAATATAAAAAAACGAAAGCTACTGAAGACGGAAAAAAAGCGTTAGCCAAAAATTTAGAATGAATCAAGTCTGCCATAAACTTCAAATGTTTGTCAACAACAACAACTATGTTTGTCAAATGTTTGTTAACAGCTAACAGCGATAAATCAGCAATGGACGAAATTTGCGAAGCAAAAACTAAGCCAACAATATTTGATAAGCACCCTTGAGCGTCCGAAAATGTCATAAAAAGTTATAGATAATCCAGAAGCCCCCGTGCGCATAAAACCTATTTTCATCCTCCATACCACGCAATATGAGGCAATCATTGTCGATATATTATCAGTCGAAATCTCTAAAGAGAAATAAGCAAAAAAGAAAACTCACAAAAATAGGGTTGGTGATTTTACAACCGAAACAAAACTAATTTGAAATAGAACGGTTACTTAAAAATCTAACATGCTCAAAATATCTGCGAGGTCAACGAAACAGTTGAGCCGTAATAATGCTCTGCTCGCACATTTGTCAGATTTCTGGAACAAAATTCTTGTTCTCTATTACAGACTTTTGCTCTCTTATGTAGGAGGACAGCATCTACAATACGACCAGATTTTCTGGGAAAAACGTACTTCCAAAACAGACATAAAAAATACCAATATCGAAAATGTCCGCGGTGTGATGAGAGGCTCTGCACAAAAGCATAAAAAATCAGCATATTCGATAATTATAGACATTTTCGCATACTCGGCAACACTTTTCGGAAAATGAATAAAAAACATAAAAAAAATTGCAAACTTTTTTGAATTTTTGGAAGTTATTTACTCTCAAGAAGGCGCTAAAAATCTTATAAGTGGCTGGAACAAAAAGTACCAAATTTTGAACCTTTGATTTAAAAAGAAGTTGAACTCATGGAAGAGTACCGGACCGCAAATCTCGAAACTTTGTTTTAAATACAAGAGGAATATTATGAGTAATAATCACTCCAACTTTTTTAAATAATAAAATCTTCTTTCGTTTGAAGTGATGTTCTATTCAAACATTAAACGACCAGAAACATGGACAGCTGAAACATGATTCTTTCTTGCTTACTAATGAATTTAGAACTAGGTTTCTTTTTGGTGTTCCGATCACTGAAAATGGATGGAGGAACTGTCTTCGTGTTTTTTTTTAATTTTCTACGCAAAATCAGGTACCACAAAAAATATCGGAATGGGCCGAGTGATATATAATATTGAAGCCCTTTCAATTGTGATTCGAATAACATAAAAAATTCCTCAATGTTGAGAAAAAACGGTTTGGTAGTTTTAATTGTCTATCATCGACCAAAAAAAAATCGAACGACCAGGCTTATTGTAGCAGGATAAGCCGTGAAACTTTTACTTATGCCGTGAAACTTTTAATTAAGCCGTGAAAACTTAGTTTTAGTTCAGCGCCTCTCAAATTTATTAGCGCCTTTTTGGGAATCATAAAACTTTTCAAATTTAACAAACATTACTGCAAAAAAATGAACACAAACAAAAATTGATCTTATTTTACAGGTTTTTCTGTTCATTTTTTGACGAAAGCTGTTGTCGAGTATGTCTAATTTTTTCCAATTATCAAAATGCGTAAGTTCTAGGCACACGTGCAGATCCTCTCATCGCATCCCGGACAAAAATGACAATATTTGGAAAAATGTGATCGCAACAGCAAACGGCTACTCTTGTTCTTTTCAAATCTTGTTTTGCCCACTTTAGGAACTTTCTAATATGGCTATGAGCATGAAAACATGATTTCAAAAATATTACCAAAAATAAGAATATCGATTGCTGTGCAAGTACCACAAAGTTTTCCGACCACGATCGCTGAAGTAGAAAAAAAGTTCAGAAATGAGATAAAAACCAGAATATTCTTTTTTTTTCCATTTTTATGTTTTTCGGGAAAAAAAAATGGATAAGTAACTGCAAAATGAGGTAATATTAACAAGAAATCAGAGAAGTTACAAAAAATTAAAATTAGCAGTTCAAAATTTGTGCTATTTAGTCTGATAAAACAGAAAATTCAGACCAATTTTTCTACAAATAACTTTTTTGGTTTTTTTCGCATCCGAATCTGGAATGAAAGGTCGTTGTCACAAAAACCGCGTTAATACACATCCGAAAAACCCACTTTTTGCAATAAACCCTTACCCCTCCCCTGCTCAAGTTACTCATTAATAAATATCCACCTCTAATTTAGAGTTTTCCAGAGCAAACCGTTTAGGTATCAAAAAATGGATGGTTTTCATAGCAGCGAATTTAATCAAACCCCTAAGTGAAATTAATTTTCAGCTAAATCGAATGTCAGAAACAATTAAGGTTCAAGCTATTTCAATTTGAGCCAACATTTAGCTACATACATTTTAAAATTATATAAAACATTTTCTGAACGAGTAACTTTTTTCTCCTTTCAAGACAACAAATGACATACACCTCATCATCTTCTTAATTAAAAAGAAGGAAAATATAAACAATTTAAATTAACTGTAACTGTTAGTATGAAAGACTCAAGTACCTCTTTATAACTGCATAAATACAAACATTTTTTGGGGGGAAAATGATATCAGGGTTGACAAGCGAAAGAAATTAAGATGGTACTGCTCCAAAACCCTCGTTTAGCGCCAGATTATAACGAGGGATATTGGTATCAAACAAGCAAAGCGGTTACAGTTTCGGCGGATGAAATTTGCTTTCAGGCTACCGTTCAACATCGATATTATTTACACATGGGCAGAAGTATAAAACTATTTTCTTTCCAGTTATTAACTTTATATAAAATTGTCATAATAAACCTTTATCATTGAGCAGTATGACTAAAAACGAACAATGCTCGTGAAATGTGTAAATTTCAAAACCTAGCCAACAGAGAGTTGGAAGTGTCAAGGACCTCAAAAAAGCGAAAAGAATGATCGAATTTTTTTTGATGAAAATATTTTCAACTTTCAAAGAAAGAATTACATCGCGTTAAAGATTTCAAGTTATAATGTTAGACACTTTTTCATATGAAAAACCCAATAAAAAGATGAGAGTCAATGGCCAAATTTTTCATTCCGGTGAGAATTCTGAAAATTACAATCCACCTTGATTCACGTATTTTTTTGCGCCATCAATTTCATAATGAAAGAGCGTAAATTGCTTTCATTTTCGCAAATGACGCTTTCAATTTATACTTTAGCTTTCATTTTATCGATCAACTAGATAGGTTTTTGGAAGATAACTACTCGCCCTCAAAACGATTTGTATCGATTCTCAGGTGATTTTGAAATTCATTTTTTGAAGTGAAATAAAAAAAAATCAGAAAAACCCGTGCTTCGAAAACGCAGCCAGCAAAAACCCGGACCAGATCATTTTTATGCATTTGAAAAAACAATTTTTTTGCATTTTTATCGGAAATAGCGCCGATAAAAGTTAAGACTAAAACAACTAATCCGAAAAAAAACATGCTTTGAAAAAATGAATTACCTGATAAGGACCAAGTAGTAATATTTGAAAATTCATGAAACTGACCATGACAGTAGATGAAGCTCGCTGACCACGACAGCAAGTGAAGTTTTGTAAGAAAACTTGTTTACAGTAAAAAAAAAAGTCTAATTCCCGAAAACAAGACACTTGCTCTCGTAAGTTTAAAAATTTGCAAACGAGTTTTACTCCTTACAGCAGAGCGAATGTACCGTACTCTAAATTTTAAAACAGGAACGTGACGTCAAATTGGATGGAACGGCACCGCACTAAATTTGACGCTCAAGCTTTTGCCTACTAGGAAGAAAAACATTTTTTTTTTGGATTAGAAAACTCGAAGGCGGTAAAAGGTATGATTTTGACGACTGTGCGTGGTTATGGAAGACTACCAAAATGCATACCTCATTTCTTCTTGTTTGCAGCAAAAGGAGATGTTGAATTTACAAAAATTTCTATACTAATAAACTCGAATTTAGGTTATTTAGCTATTCGGGGCCACGGTTACTTCGGAATTTAAATCCCCGTTTAGCATTTTGTCGGTTTTTCAAGTCTGTTCCATCAATAAAGGAGTGGGTTGAATGATAGTGATACAATTGTATTCATAAAAAGTTAAGTTATTATTATGTGGATTATGTTCTGTCGATAAGGTGTTGTTATAAGTTAGATTTAAGTTATTTCCAAATCTATCGGTTTTAATTCTCAATTGTGGTCGATGTCTTGGACTTTAGCGTGACTTAAATTAATTGAGTACAACATTATGGTAACTGCTCTGTAACCCATGTATATTTCTAGGAAATTAATGGCTGAGAACTTATCAGGGCCAAGGTTACTTCGGAATTCAAATCCCCGTTTACCATTTTGTCGGTTTTTCAAGTCTGTTCCATCAATAAAGGAGTGGGTTGAATGATAGTGATACAATTGTATTCATAAAAAGTTAAGTTATTAATATGTGGATTATGTTCTGTCGATAAGGTGTTGTTATAAGTTGGATTTAAGTTATTTCCAAATCTATCGGTTTTAGTTCTCACTTGTGGTCGATGTCTTGGACTTTAGCGTGACTTATATTAATTGATTACAACATTATGGTAACTGCTCTCTAACCCATGTAATTTCTAGGAAATTAATGGCTGAGAACTTATCAGGAAAAAGTTTAGTAATTAATGAGCATTCACAATTCTGTAATCCGAAAGCCGGCCATGTAAGACTACATTATGTTATGGTTGTAGAAGAATTCTCAAAAAGAATTTTAAAAAGATATAGTAGGAACAATTCAGTTTCGAAAAACTGCAAACTAGTTTTACTCATTACAGATGAGCGAAGGTACCGTTTTCTGAATTCCAAAGTAGGAATATCAACTCAAATTAGATGGAATGTGACGTCGCACTGTATTTGACGCTCGCACTTCTGCCTACG